TTGTCTCTGATGTGACGGTCAGGCAGTGTTGTCAGTCAGTAAGTACAGGACAAACATGACTTCTGTCTCTGATGTGACGGTCCGTTAGTGTTGTCAGTCAGTACAGGACAAACATGTCTTCTGTCTCTGATGTGACGGTCCGTCAGTGTTGTCAGTCAGTACAGGACCAACATGTCTTCTGTCTCTGATGTGACGGTCCGTCACTGTTGTCAGTCAGTACAGGACCAACATGTCTTCTGTCTCTGATGTGACGGTCCGTCACTGTTGTCAGTCAGTACAGGACAAACATGTCTTCTGTCTCTGATGTGACGGTCCGTCACTGTTGTCAGTCAGTACAGGACCAACATGTCTTCTGTCTCTGATGTGACGGTCCGTCACTGTTGTCAGTCAGTACAGGACCAACATGTCTTCTGTCTCTGATGTGACGGTCCGTAGAGTTGTCCGTCAGTGTTGTCAGTAAGTACAGGACAAACATGACTTCTGTCTCTGATGTGACGGTCCGTTAGTGTTGTCACTCAGTACAGGACAAACATGTCTTTTGTCTCTGATGTGACGGTCAGGCAGTGTTGTCAGTCAGTAAGTACAGGACAAACATGTCTTCTATCTCTGATGTGACGGTCCGTCAGTGTTGTCAGTAAGTACAGGACAAACATGACTTCTGTCTCTGATGTGACGGTCCGTTAGAGTTGTCAGTCAGTAAGTACAGGACAAACATGTCTTCTGTCTCTGATGTGACGGTCTGTCAATGTTGTCAGTAAGAACAGAACAAACATGTCTTTTGTCTCTGATGTGACGGTCCGTCAGTGTTGTCAGCACAGTACAGGACTGGAAAAACATGTCTTCGTATTATTAATAAAAAGAGTGGCATCATCATCAATATCGCCATCATCATATGTACACACATACATACACATACAACTAACATCATCATGGCCAATTCTTACATCATCATCATCATCATCATCATCATCATCATCATCATCATCATCATCATCATCATCCTGGCCCATTCTTACATCTATCATCGTCATCACCATCATCATTACATCATCATCATCATCATCACCATCATCATCACCATCATCCTGGCCCATTCTTACATCTATCATCGTCATCACCATCATCATCATTACATTACATCATCATCATCATCATCATCATCATCATCATCATCATCATGGCCAATTCTTACATCATCATCATCATCATCATCATCATCATCATCATCATCATCATCATCATCCTGGCCAATTCTTACATCTATCATCGTCATCACCATCATCATTACATCATCATCATCATCATCATCATCATCATCATCATCATCATCATCATCATCACCATCATCATCATCATTACATCATCATCATCATCATCATCATCATCATCATCATCATCATCATCATCATGGCCAATTCTTACATCATCATCATCATCATCATCATCATCATCATCATCATCATCATCATCATCATCATCATCATCATCAACATTATTACATCATCATCATCATCATCATCATAATGGCCAATTCTTACATCATCATCATCACCATCATCATCATTACATCAAGCCTGTTTTTTGCCTTTTTCGACGGCGGCCACTGAAAATACGATTCCGTAATTTAGAGTTGTTTATGTTTGCTTCAAGTGTTCCCTATACGATGTTATTCAGCGACAGAGATTGAAAAGGATTGGACTGCGAATGTGAAAAACACTTTTTCTAAGAAGATATCGAATTCAATACCATGACAGACGGTCTTTCCTTAGTTTCTCCGTCGACCTATGAAGTGCATGAAGGTGACTCTAAAACGGGTGTCACAGTAGCAGAAGACAGCCAGGACAGTAGGTGGTAGCATACACAAACAGAACGTGTCGCCCATGTTCAGGTAACTGACGAGGAAATTAACTTCATCAAACGGTATTCCGATGTCAACTTGCGCATATGTAAGAGTGATGATAAGATTCGAAGTACAACCCACGAGTGCCAAACCACTGAAGGTAAACATACACAAGGATATTGCACGGATGATTTCCTTTTGTTGGTAAGTCGCCACGGCGTCTGATTGACTGACGCGTTTCAATATGTACAACCGAACTTTCAGGAGGATACCAACCGTTACCATGGTGACGATAGGGAAAACGTGAGTGACCAAAAACATACCAAGGTAAACGTTTCTCTGGTAGAACTCGACATTCATAACCACATCAGAGGGGAATGGTATGCAACACTCACGTTCGACTGTCTCGTCTAACCTGGAGAACCAGTCGACCTTTACAAAGCGAAGTAAATACATAGCCGGGATGTAAACACATATACCGGTCAGACAGGTGAAAAAGCAGAACCACACAGTTTTACAGGAAGTCATAAGCACCTCGACCTTTTTCGGAGCAAACATCATGATAAGTCCTTGTACAGCAAGACCAACTTTAAGCAAGCCAGTAATAATGTTGATGACGGATGGTGTATCAACATTGACTCGAGCGAAGATTTCGCACCATTTGAACTCCAGATAATCAGTGTATATTTCATTGTCACCTAAAAGCTTGATACTCAAGGGGATACGTACAACGAGACTAAGCGTCGTCATGACCGTGATACAGGATACAAGTTTCTGTACACCTATGTAATCTTTCTGGCGCCGAAACAGGATGATAATGAGAATGGTAAACATCAGCGAGAGAAAGGAAATCACAGGAAGTACAAACGCTATCCATTTCGCAGCGACTTCCGGTATGTTCCTATTCAATCGTAATAAAAAGAAATCGATGTCCATGGTTTGACTACCGGTCGCCAAATTGGTTAGTTTTGGACATAAAGTAGCTTTGAGACATGTATATATACTGTCTCTGTAAGCTCATATGACGTCACGTATTAGCTTGCTGCTGATTCGCTGGTTGCTAAATGCTTTCATGTTTCAGCTAAAATAATCATATAACTTCACACTTAGTCTTTCTGATATAACAGACGCTGGAGAATCATATTTATAGTCACGGACGTGTCATAGTCCTTACGTCATTTTCGTGTAACTTCTGTTTAGGAAGACTGTGCTAATGTTTAGAGATTGGAACCTGCACGGTAAAATGCTTGGTGACCAAACAGCAAACATATTGCATAAAATATTAGCTTAACATGGAATTTGATAACCATTTGATATGACCCCATTGGCGAACTAGTATTTTCTCAATTATAATTTTTTCCCCGTTGTGTTTTGGAAATTCTTCAAATGAAAATTCTCTGAAAATCAGTTAGGTGACTGTATCATTCGCCATCAGTTTCTGAACTGATAAAAATTAACAGAACACAAACACAGTTTTCGCTCCAATATTGAAGTGTTATGTCTGATTCCTATGTAATATATATATTTCTGTAACAAGGAAAGCGGGGTCCGCCATTATCACTGTGTAAGGGATGTTATAAAGGATAATAGTAAGTTCGTGATTTATTTCGGAAATATGACGTAGAGATGATACAAGGTTTAATACAGAAGAGTGCACAAAGATGTTTAAAAACGTATATAAAAGTAAAAAGTAACCACGAGAACAAACGTTTACAAAAAATGAACCATAAAAGTAGACACATGTCACATAAGTAACACATAGAAAACATAAACATATCTAGATATGAAAACACAAATAAATACAACATATACAGAGCTAAGTATAAATTTAACATCAATGTTAGAACAGGATGTACCGATGTGATATCAAAGGAGATGAGAGGTGTCCCGTAGATAACACAGGAGATGTGAGGTGTCCCGTAGATAACACAGGAGATGTGAGGTGTCCCGTAGATAACACAGGAGATGTGAGGTGTCCCGTAGATAACACAGGAGATGTGAGGTGTCCTGTAGATAACACAGGAGATGTGAGGTGTCCCGTAGATAACACAGGAGATGAGAGGTGTCTTGTAGATAACACAGTAGGTGTGAGGTGTCCTGTAGATAACACAGGAGATATCAGGTGTCTTGTAGATAACACAGGAGATTTGAGGTGTCCTGTAGATAACACAGGAGATGTGAGGTGTCTTATAGATTACACCTGGAACAGGCTACAAATACGATCCAAAATAAGCCTTAGTTTTCTATCAATAAAACAGGAAACATTTTGTTGATAAACCAATTTATTTCTTATTTAACCTGCATACATTTACCACAATATACTCGGTTTACACGGTTCATACAAGGATGTCATATATGTTAGCCAGTATACTATATACACAGTTTACACGGTTCATACAAGGATGTCATATATGTTAGCCAGTATACTATATACACAGTTTACACGGTTCATACAAAGATGTCATATATGTTAGCCAGTATACTATATACACAGTTTACACGGTTCATACAAAGATGTCATATATGTTAGCCAGTATATATATACACAGTTTACACGGTTCATACAAGGATGTCATATATGTTAGCCAGTATACTATATACACAGTTTACACGGTTCATACAAAGATGTCATATATGTTAGCCAGTATACTATATACACAGTTTACACGGTTCATACAAAGATGTCATATATGTTAGCCAGTATACTATATACACAGTTTACACGGTTCATACAAAGATGTCATATATGTTAGCCAGTATACTATATACACAGTTTACACGGTTCATACAAAGATGTCATATATGTTAGCCAGTATACTATATACACAGTTTACACGGTTCATACAAAGATGTCATATATGTTAGCCAGTATACTATATACACAGTTTACACGGTTCATACAAAGGTGTCATATATGTTAGCCAGTATACAATATACACAATCAGTGATATCTACCTTTACAGTCAACAATATATACCTTAACATTCAATAGTAGTTGCCTTTACGGCATGAAGTTGTATTACACAGCTGTGCAAATATCATGGCAGATTGTCCGAATATTACCATTGTTATGCACGGACGTCTAGATTATCCTTGCAGACTGTCCAATCTCGAGATCTGAAAAATGTTCACTGCAAAACATGTGAATACTAAAGTATTGTCAAGTATTTCGTCGTCGGAGGAGCTGCATAAACGTGGTTCTGATCCGGGTGTCACACAAGCAGAAGATGAAAAGAGTAATGACAGGAACAAACGCAGAACAGATCGTTTCAACTAATCCGAAGTAGCTAACAATATCCTGGGTTGTGTTGATGTCCACGCCGATGTCCACGAGACCGTAGGTTAGGGTGATCAGTAGGATTTGGATAGCTGTTGGCAAGTCCAGACCTGGGAAAACAAACATACACAAGGATATAGCGCGAATGTGTTCTTTCTGTTCCACGGCGTCGTCTGTCTGACTCGTCCGCTTCAACATGTACAGGCGGACAGTTAGAATAACGCCTACAGACAGCATGGTTGCAATAGGAAACGCATGTGCAACACACAGAATACCAAGGTAAGCATCCCTCTGATAAAACTCGATGTTTATTACGTGGTCGCCTGGGAAAGGTACACAACACTCTCGTTCGGTATCCGGCCGATATTTAGAAGTCCACGGAACAGGCAGAAATGTAATTAGGTACATGGCTGGTATATACACACAAACGCCCACAATACAGGTAAAAAAACAGAACCATATAGTTTTACGGGAGGTCATCAGCACTTTGGCTTTTTTCGGAGCGAACATCATGATAAGTCCTTGTACAGCAAGACCAACCTTGAGTAAGGCATTGATAATGTTTATGACTGTCGGGGTATCAACGTTTAGTCGGGTGAATACCTCGCACCATTTGTATTCCAGGTAATCAGTGTAGAGACCATCGTTTCCTAAAAGTATTATACTTAATGGGATACGGACAGCAAGACAAAGCGTTGTCAGGACCAAGATACAAGACACAATCCTCTGCAGTCCCGTGTAATTCTTTTGGCGCCGAAATATAATAACCATGACAATTGTGCTCATCAGAGAAATTAAAGACAGCACCGGAAGTACAAATGTCATCCATTTTGCGACCGGTTCCGGTATGCTCTTGTTCAATCGAACCAAGAACATGTCGATGTCAAGGCTACCGTCGGCGTTCGACATTTTCTGGTATTCGGAAAAGTGCCCGGTTCCTGTAAGGCACAGATACCTGTATCACTTTATATATACTTATCAGTTAGCATATCACGTGATCATTTCTCCAAATCTTTTGAATTAATTGGTTGTATACTAGATAAAACCCAGCAGGTAAAATATACAAATATATTTAATGGAAATCAGCTTTCATTTGCCGTTGGTCTTTGGCTGTCATCTCACCTTCGTGACCATCTTCTTTTTCACACGTTGCAAAGCTGGTATAAACCCATATTTATCAACAGATTAAGATATTTACCAAACAAATTTGCCTATGAGACCATATCCTTATTAAGATCAAGTTTCAACACCTGACAGGGTGTATCTCCACTTCCCAGCATCTGAACCACCAGGTGTCCCGGTCCCTGTGAACTAGGTGTTGGCTTCAATATAAGCTGTCGGGAACGGTAAGTATCAACTCGGAACAGTAAAACACATCACACTAAAACTTGGAATGACGTCACTGAATCATCTAATGTTTACTTACTGTTAACCCAAAATAGATATGCTAATTTGATTAACTGAGCAAAATGTCACCTTTGAACGTAGAAACTATCACGTTCCGGTCTATCATTTCAGAGTAGTTGCCTTCCGTACCTGTATGGGATTTTATTTTCGCTGAGGTTAGGTTAGGTTGCTTTGTGCCAGGAAGACAAAAAATAAACCTTGTATTCATAATTGATTCACTCAGATTTTTCATAAAAAAAATAATAGCAATAACATTTCATATATATAAATAACTTTCTTACACAGGAAGTAGTAAAAGGTGGCGATACTTTTGCGAATAGACGCGTCTCCCATGTATAGACAGGTAAGTAAGGTTTTGATACCCTAGATGTCTATTTGAAAACCTATGTATTCTGATATTTTACATGTCTTATTTCGCTATATCTTGTGCCTTATCAATATTTAGATATTCTGATATCGTTGCTTGGTTGATGTTGAAGTATCTTGATAATCTGGTTAATATGACATCTGAATATTCCTATGCATTATTCTGATATTCTAGCTAAATTATAAACAGTGGTGTCCTGCCTAATTTGAAATGTGAGTATATCTAACCAGTCTGACATTTTAAGGTATCACTATAGGTATGTCCTTACAGATGGATTGATATTTACAAGATATGGATTGAACAAATGATTTACAATTTTTATTTTTAGGTTTTGCTTGTTTGTTTGTTTTTTTTTTATGTTTTTATTGTTATTGTTCACTTCTATATGCATAAACTAAACTTAATTTGATGACAAATCAGAGCATGTTGTGTAGTCATAGTAACCATGCTAGGCCAACCACACCTCTTAAATGTGTTTGGGAATGAATGTAGTGTGATTGTTTTGAAACAGACATTTCTGTTATATTTGCCTAATTACATAGCTTTTTTCCAACATTTTACAACATATGAGGCAGATTGTGGGAGCAGTTTCTCTGTGGTTGGCTAGCTGAACACTGGGTGCACCACTTACGTGGCTGTGAGTAGTATTAAGATAATGTCTAGAAATGTAAGGGGACTGAACTCGGACAGGAATAAGAGAAGAAATGTGGGACAAAACAGAAACATTTGATAATCATATGTTTGAAAGAAACACATTGTTTAGGCAATATAGAAAAGAATGTGGGAAAGGGAATGAAGATATCAATATATTTTTGGTAAAAAAAAATAATTTAAAAAAAAGATATATATTTTTAGTAATCAGACTTCAAGATCAGCAGGGGTAGCTATATTTCTGAGAAATACATCCGAGTATGTAATACATGGCAGCAGTATAGATAACAACTGAAGGATGATTGTACTTGATAAAACAATTACAGATTATCATTAGCAGATATATATGGGCCAAATCAAGATTCTCCAATATTCTGTGAAAACTTCCTGTCCATCTTACAAGTCTTCAACAATAGTTCCTTGATATTGTGTGCTGATTGGAACACGGTCCAGGAAGTCGACACTCATAATATCTGGATGAATGAATAATTTGTATTTGCATTTAGATGCTGCTCACTGCAAAGTCAATTAATATATTTAAATACTATTTTTTAAGAATGAAAGCATGAATGAGTTGAAGAATGAATATATAAATTACGAATTGAATAAATGAATTACAGAATGAATGACATACTAATAACAGAGAAATCTGATGGATGAATGGATGGATGGATGGATGAATGAATGAATGGATGGATGGATGGATGGACGGACAGTCCCATTGTCTCATTTCCTATCATGCTTCGGTTGTTTTTATAAGAGACTACCATTTATATGGAACATTCATACCTATAAGAGACAGCACGCCTACAGATTGCTGGTGACGGATTCAACCGGTATGAGAACGTGACCACGTGTTACTGAGAGGACATAAACACCTATATTTTGTCAAAAACCCGAGCTGACATGTGACAGCTTACATGTATCGTCCTTCGTCCAATTACCTAATCGCCTACTAAATCCACCTGTCACGTTAGAACGTGTTTTCACAAATTTCCCATATAAAATCGGTTTCATTTTGTCGGTACTTGTCCTACTGTACACATCCTCATACAATAGGAATGTTATTACACCTGACCAGCCAGGAAACACTACATATCAACCAACATTGGTTCTTTACGTCACTATCGCTAAAGGAAGTAAAAAGCCGCCATCTCTCTCTCTCTCTCTCTCTCTCTCTCTCTCTCTCTCTCTCTCACTGTGTGTGTGTGTGTGTGTGTGTGTGTGTGTGTGTGTGTGTGTGTGTCAGGCTCTTGAAATCCAATTAAATCAATTATAAGAAATAAAATCAGATTTGTTAGCCTGTATATATCTCTTTGCCTAATCCGTCGAATTTATCTTTGCTTTCAGTATGTCAATATGTTCACTTAATATTGATAATGCGACGAAATATATTTAGAAGCTGTAACCGTTAGGAACACTATATCGTCACTTGAACTATATACCATCCTAAGGCCATCCAAAAACTCGCTATACACTGAATCTCTCCTACTAATTGAAAGGCTATTAGTCTTACTGGATACTTTTAACTCAACTATACTCGATGTACTCATTGTATACATAATATATCACTGACTGTATTCGGTTTACTATATATACATTTTATTATTTTAACATTATCTCAAACATTAAATCTGTACATAGGTCATTTTGTTTCCTCGCTGTTTGTTTACAACTGCATAACAAGGAGCTTCCTGGCCGGATGTTGTGGTATCTGCTTCGTTAGATTGAAGACTACTTCCGGTTGAACGTTTGTCGCCGAGCACAGCCGATGCGCTGCTTTCTGAAAAACTGATATCTGAATTTGTTGTGTTGTCAAACAGAGGGTTATCACATGTATTGGTGTGATAAGGTACAGAGTCCAATCGGGTGTTTTCAGCCGAGTACGACTGGTCCTCCAAGCTAGACTGGTCGTAAGTAATAATCTCCTTCATATCCTCCTTGTCGCTGTTGTGACTGGCATGGGTGAACGGTAACTTTGGTGGTGTAAAACGATTGTATTCTGGGTTAGAGAAGGATTTAGGTGACAAGGAAGTGGATCTCCTATTACTGAAATGGAAGAAAAGTTTGGTACAAATATATTGGTTACGAAACTCCCTCCTCCACCTTAGAAAGAGTACATTTCACCACAGAGATACATCTGGAAAATTAAATTGTTATCGGTGGGGAAAACTGGACAACCCTGCTTCCTAGTCAAATATATATTAGTATATAAGAATGATACAGCTAGAGTTAACATTAAAACATTCATCCTTAATTAGTAAATACGCACGCCTTCATTTGTTCTATATAAAACAAAAAGAACACAGAAAAAACTTTCAGTGACTGTTTTAGGACTGGTGCTCAATTGATATTATTATTATTTTTTTTTCAAATTAATTGTAAAAATAAGTTGAAATTCATTCACTATCTTCTACTATGTCGTTTGAGAAATACTTGCTTTAAAGGATATGGTAACGTGTGTAATCTGGAGAAGAGTCCTAATACTTAACATCGACGACTCATAGTTCTAAAGAAGAAGTGATGACTTCTGATCTTACCTCCGACAATGTACTACGATGACAAGCACCAGAACAAAGAGTACGAATGCCCCTACTATCGTCGGGATGATGATGTTTACTGAAAAGGATATATCTCATATATTACAATGTCGATAATAATTATATAGGACATAAAATACATGACGATTGTATAAAAAAGAAGATGTTCACACACAGACAGGTCATCTTTCCTTTGATGTTTCCGGAGACATAACTATGGTAACCTATAAACAAAAGAAGATGCTTACAAACAGTTCTTATAAGTTCTTTGTTAAAAAAAGCAAAAATGGGTGAACATTTAAATTGCTGGATGTTGAAAAAGTAAACACTTAAACATAATTTTGGAAATTATGTCAATAAAACACAGATTATCTAGTTCTGAGGAAAATAACCGACGCGAGATACGCTGCACACAATGTAAAGTGACGCCACAAAAGTATTGCAACAAACATGACCGATTTTCTGCAAAAAATAGATTGGTACATTTCATTTGCGATTTTTGGACAGAAACAATTTGACCTTCGGCATGAAACTCGTCAAGAACAAATTTAAGGGGGTATATTTTTACTTGACACCGGAATTTTGTGACGTCATGTTGTATTTACATTAGACGCGGAAGTAGCAGACGATGGCTGGAAGTGCCAATGAACGAGTCGGACGAATTTTAAAGAAAATTGAAACAACGGAGATGTAGAAATTCGCCATCGAAGTGGTAGACCAAAACTTTTGAGTGACCGTGGTTTTCGCAGATTATATCGGCATGTTAGAAAAAAGGTGAGACGGACTTTCAGATATTACAAACACTTTAAATTCCTCGTCCTGTCTATACAAGAACTGTTCATAGCATTTTACACCGGGAAGGTATAAAAAAAACCCCGCCGAATTCGAAAGTCCATCACAATTTCAGAGGTCAACCGTCAAAGACGAGTTCAGCGGTGTAGAGGAAAACTAGCGTGGACTGAGCACAGGTGGCAAAAAGTTCTGTTTACGGACGAAACACAAGTTGTTATTAGTAAGAAAAATATTTTACATGTATGGAGAAAATCAACAGAAACGTGGAACCCGGAGTGTTTAAATATATTGAAAGCGCCCCACTGGATGAGTGTAATGTTTTGGGGATGTATTTCATATAATGGTGTTGGTACTTTGGTTGATGGAAATATAAATTCACAAATGTATATAGATTTACTGGACGAAAACTTGTGGCCTGTTGTTGCAAAAGAATTTGGCAATGATGATTGGATTGATCAGGATGATAATGCGACCCCTCATCGTTCTAGTGTGACCAATGCCTGGAAAACAGCAAATTGTATACCAAGTATGGATTGGCCTTCAAATCCCCAGATATAAACATTACTGAAAATGTGTAGAGATGTATAAAATTAAACCGAATAAAAAAAAATCGGATGACATTGCAAACAGGGATCAACTTATCACAGCAGTGAAAGATATCTGGCGACGTCTACCTCAGGTCTACATAACATGTTTATATGCATCAATTCCCAGATGGATTCGCAGTGTCATCACCCAGAAAGGTTATATAACAAAATATTAAAAGTTTGGTAAGTATTATACATTTTTGATATGAAAAATATTGTTTGAAATTTCAACTTTGTTTTGCAATTGTGAATGACGTTGGCCATGTTTGTTGCGATACTTTTGTCACGTCACTGTACAACTGTCGGTTCGAAACTTACGGGTGTCGTGGCTGGTATCAATCCCTTCCTCGTTGTTTCCATCTGACTTCGTACCGGAAGTAGAAAAAGGCGACGAGGCAGGCACTGTATTATTTAAAGGCTGTGGTGTGGTAGACGTTTGTGTGTTAGATTGAGTTGTTGTAGGTATAGGCGTGGTAGATTGAGTTGTTGTAGGTTTAGTTGTGGTAGATTGAGTTGTGGGTTTAGGCGTGGTAGATTGAGTTGTAGGTTTAGGCGTGGTAGATTGAGTTGTAGGTTTAGGCGTGGTAGATTGAGTTGTAGGTTTAGGCGTGGTAGATTGAGTTGTAGGTTTAGGCGTGGTAGATTGAGTTGTAGGTTTAGGCGTGGTAGATTGAGTTGTAGGTTTAGGCGTGGTAGATTGAGTTGTTGTAAGTGGTGGCGTAGTAGATTGAGTTGTTGTAGGTGGTGGCGTAGTAGATTGAGTTGTTGTAGGTGGTGGTGTGGTAGATTGAGTTGTTGCAGGTGCAGGTGTGGTTGATTGAGTTGTGGGTTTAGGTGTGGTAGATTGAGTTGTTGTAGGTGCAGGCGTGGTAGATTGAGTTGTTGTAGGTGCAGGTGTGGTTGATTGAGTTGTTGTAGGTTTAGGCATGGTAGATTGAGTTGTTGCAGGTTTAGTCGTGGTAGATTGAGTTGTAGGTGCAGGTGTGGTTGATTGAGTTGTAGGTGCAGGTGTGGTAGATTGAGTTGTTGTAGGTGGTGGCGTGGCTGCTATATCATTTGAACATGTAGCGTTGATTGTCGATGATAAATTGTCTGAAACAAGAAAGCAAATCTGGAAAATATGATATGGAAATACAAGGATCAGCTTATTCACCACCAAAATACACAAACAAAAATTGTCCTTAGATGATGAAGATTTCCAGGTATATAACAATTTCTCAACTTACCTAGTGTTAATGATAAACAATATCTCGATTCACTCTGTTGCTGCCTGTTCAGGATGACCGTGATGACGTCACCGTCTTGTACAGTTAAACTGCCGGTTACATAATTACACTGACCGACGATCTTCTCTCCTGTTCCCCTCTGAATTTCTAGAGATGATTTACAGCCAGAATTCGGGCCAAGATCTCGGAAACTTGAGAGTGACAAAGATGTTGTTCCCGAGGGAGAAATTATTAAAGCGGTGCAACTGCACGTGCTCAGACCGACATCGTTGGTGTCATACATATCTATAAGGACACTTCGTCCAAGACTCATTCCTCCAGCGCATATTTTGCTCGCTGAAACCCGAGATGTCTTCAATTGAGTAAAATAAATTAATGACAAACATACATAGCCTGTTATCATACAGTTACACCAACACGAGACATGACATCTGAACATTATCAAAGATGTCAGCTTTAGTTTAAAAAAATAGCAGAATCAGATAGTTCATGCTGATGAGCCGTAGATTAATAAATATCCACCTAGTCTACTTGCTTTGAGAACGAGGCTTTGTTGTGTTGTGGACGCTCAAAAATCGTATGCATAGTAAAAGCAGTCAATGTTAAGCATTAATAGAAAAAAGAAGACAATTACTTACAAGGGTAACCCTCAATATCTCCAAGCAGCTTACAGTCATTTACAAAGGCTCCAGCTGAATATAAAACAGAGACAAGTGGTTAATACAGAGATTGATTAACCGGATACTAATGTAGTGACCAGGACCCGGATGATAATGTAGTGATCAGAGCCCGGATAATAATGTAGTGACAAGGGTCCGGATAATAATGTAGTGACTAGGGAACGGATGATAATGTAGTGACCAGGGCTCGGATAATAATGTAGTGACCAGGGAACGGATAATAATGTAGTGACCAGGGAACGGATAATAATGTAGTGACCAGGGCTCGGATAATAATGTAGTGACAAGGGCCCGGATAATAATGTAGTGACTAGGGAACGGATAATAATGTAGGGACCAGGGCCCGGATTATAATGTAGTGACTAGGGTCGGGATAATAATGTAGTGACCAGGGAACGGATAATAATGTAGTGACAAGGGCCCGGATAATGATGTAGTGACCAGGGAACGGATAATAATGTAGTGACCAAGGCTCGGATAATAATATAGTGACCAAGGCTCGAATAATGATGTAGTGACCCAGGCCCGGATAATAATGTAGTGACCAGGGAACGGATGATAATGTAGTGACGAAGGCCCGGATAATAATGTAGTGACCAGGGCCCGGATAATAATGTAGTGACCAAGGCCTGGATAATAATGTAGTGATAAGGGCCTGGATAATAATGTAGTGACCAGAGCCTGGATAATAATGTATTGATCAGGGCCCAGATAATAAAGTAATGACTAGGGCCCAGATTATAATGTAGTGACCATGGTGTTTGTTTTTATTCTACTAAATTCGGTTCCAAATTTTGACACCGAAATGCAATATTTAGTTATATTCGTCCTATTTATCGATTTAATTGTCCGTACAGGTTGACATTTCCACCTGATATCACTGAAACTCAGTAACTATGCATGTACGCTTGTATTTGTAATTAATCAGCTGTGGTCAGATATGACTGAAGTTTTATTAACATCCTCGTCTCTTTTATTTAGTTTTTATTTACAGTTTGAATCATACTGTCACCGGCAAGGAGACAACACCGCGTGTGTTTTGAGGGATCATAAATGTAAATAAGAAACAGGATAGGCCCAAAGACGGAACCCTGGAGAAATCAGATGTAACTGAAACTGTAGTAAAGGTTTGGTCGTTTAGTATTACATACTGTGTTAACTTCGACAAAAAAGTTTAAAGTCTTGCTCTTCACGAAAAGGAGTTTTTAATTTGACACAGAGACGAGTGAATATTCTGAAGAAAAGACTATATGTATTATGACTTGTAAAATTATTTTGTCACCACTAACAATATATATTCCTCTTAGGGCGCTCATTCTTTGCCCTACTAAAAGTACACCATTTTTAGAATTATAAAACCTCGCTGTATCGCACGTAAAATGATAAGATAAATGAAGTTTGCCCTAAAAGAATTATTTCATGATAGGACCGCGCGCGCACACGCATACTCACGAAAATTCCATTGCATGTTCCCATCCCAACCCTTTTCTCAAGTTTATCTTCCATTCCTGTGGAACTTAGGAGTCAGATATATCCAAGAGAAAGATTTTTATTCCTAGTTTAAATATTCTAGAGATTGGGGCCAATCTAAGTAACTAGGTCAGTGACTTGTTTGTTAGTCGTATTTGTGATTAAGTATTTTTATTGTGGACCTAAACAAATAAAACAGGTGTACGGTTGGAATAGACTTTCCCGTGACTACAATACGCTAAAATTATCTACATGTACTTAACATTTTGCTTTCCTGTGTAAGAAATTGCACATACCTATTACCTGTTAGCGAGGACGATTAGACAAAACTACCTGCTACATAAACGTACAACATTATACGTCCCACCTTCCGGTGTAAGAAATCAAATAGCGGGACCATTAGTCTATCAAAGCTGTACGTCCTTCCCATAAAGGAAGGTTAATTTGGTAATAAACCCCAGAACAAAATGGTAGTTTAAGAGGTCAGAGTTTACTCTCAAGTTCATGACCTCTATCCATACAAACCATGGGCAATACGACATTAACGTTTGAAGGCTTTGTGGAGTTTAGTTTGGCGTGGTTGTAGAGGCTGATTATCTACTCCAGTTTCTAAAGTCGGGAGTGACGTGGTTACAATAAATGATTCCGCGACGAAATATAGTTCCATATGTACATTATATTTACATATATTAAATTCCGTCTTATTTCATTAACAGTTAAAATTTGAGAGTAATAACTGATCGTTTTCTTCTGGAACCATTTTTTTAAATCATGACGTGTACACACTTTAGAATCTTAGAAACATTTTGCTGGGAATAAAAACATTTTGCATATCACACAGAAAATAAACAAAAATAAAGATATATTTCAATAACACGAAACAAACAAAAAGTCTTTGTCTTCCTATGTCAAACTTGACCACGCCCATTGTCTTCTTTTGTTAACCCTGACCACGCCCATTGTCTTCCTATGTTTACTATGACCACGCCCATTGTCTTTGAGTTGAGAATTTCATCGCTGTGGGAAAGACTGTGGGTTGAAGTACCCCTGGGTCTTGACACTCTAAAAGCCCTTAAATGTTAGGGCTCCGAAGGAAAGATTACCGATTGAGTCGGTTGTATCGATCACATGACTGGATATATAGGGTACAGAATCTAGCTTCATTAAAACCCATTAAAACAATCAATGTTTTAATTTAATTACGAACCATCCATCTATTGGGCACACATTACTACGTCTATAGCGCACTAGGTAATAATATTGATCAGCATGTTCAGCTGTTTATCTTATTCAACACAACAATACAACCGATGTATTAGTCATCCATGCTCGAATTTTCCTTGCAATTAAGAGGGATGTGATGAAAATCCAACTTAAGGTGACTTCAGGCTATTTACAAATGTTACACGGAGAACGTAATCAATGTAAACACCTAGATCATATAATTACGGGTATACATGCCTTATAAGGAAGGAATTAAACATAATTATCATGAATAGTCAATTTTGACTTCCCAGGTTTTTTTTATACCTAGTAGTAATATAATCAGACGTACTAATGAAAACAGTAAGCAAATGTAAAAAAAAAACCCGAAACAAATCGACCTTTCACCTCATGTTAATATACAAAGTATCGAGTATTTTGGTTAACGGAAAGCACATCGTATTTCATCATACAACAGTACCCATAAACTACAAGTCTTCTAATGAGAATCATGACTTAATACGATAAAGAATTGGGTTGAATTCATATACATCTCATCACAAATGTTATCTTGTGTATAGCAGTGTACGCATATTTTCGGGTTTGATCGTGTTTTATGGTATGCATTACCAGATCAGTACGAAAAAGTTACAAGCTTTCGGGTTACATCGTGTTTGAACAATTCCGGGTTACATCGTGTTTTATCGTATACATTACCAGAGAAGTATGGACAATTTACAAGCTTTCGTGTTACATAGTGTTTTATAGCATACATTACCAGCACAGTATGAACAATTCTGGGTTACATTGTGTTTTATCGATGTATTACCAGCACAGTATCAAAAATCCCGCGTTACATCGTGTTAACCTCTGTGTTACCTTTCAGTTTTAATGACTCGGAAAGTAAATGTTAAACAATTTCATACGTCACGGACGGACGATTCCAAGCGGAATGCGTGGAAGTTACCTAATACCTACAACAGTTCTGTGCGGTCAGGTTATGTTACGGACAAATATGGAGGTCATTTTACACAACGCCAGCAAGTGTGTCAACATCCGGGTACCCTCCATTACCACAACTGTATAAAAACAGTTACAACATCATGACCACGTTCTACACTTACAAAAATTTAATTTACAGAAAATGTAAAAGTTCGATTAAATTCAAGTGACATATATAAATACATTTATCAAAAAGGAAGTGTTTAGTTCACATCTTTATTGGCATGTTACAAAACGTACACACGTATATATATCCTGAGGTAGTTTGTTTGCTATAGATCTGTGTTCGAATGAGACAAGAAAGTCAGTTCAACAGTTTGTTCAACATGACATATAAAACCTGTCCGTAGTATGTTTTATTTTGAAATGAATTTAAGGTTTGAACACCAAGATACACTCTTCAAGTCTTAAGGGGGAAGATGACCAACCAGAACACTGTAAACAATACATTAATTATTTATCTGATGGATATTACGATAAAACTTACCTCGATATGTGATTGTCAGTAATATTTTCATCAATTTCAGAAAACTTCGTGGCTCCATTCTCGTAGACGGCGCAATTGAATAGCCTTCCGGGTTTAAATTTCTACGGATGGGCGGGCCAGCCTTGTAACAACGTTACAGCCGGTCACATGACCTGTTCAGGCATTCACAAACATTCCTTATAAATTTTGTTACGATATTCGTGTGGAAGGTGATATCCTGGTACCCGGGAAGAGAACTGTACTACGGTTGGAATACCTTCCTGTATTGTCTCCCCGTCAGTCTCATTCGATATAAAACAACATTTCTGTGCATCATACACCATTTTGAGCAAGATAACTTTCTACAAAGATATCACCATATTTATAGGTACAGAATACCCTAGGGTAATCGACCCTAGAGTAATCGATGTTTAATGTAATACCACTGTATATCGAACCCCAGTGAAGGAACGGTGGTCGCGAACGATGTGTAAAATATATGTTTCTTTTTCATAGACAGTTTTACAATGTTGATAGCGCTATACAACACAACCTATCGGCCATATAACTGCGAGTGTCCCAAGGGTCAGCTGGTTACGGAGGTCGCATTGACTACGGGGCATTTTGTCGCTATTTAGAGGTAAACAAAATGTAAGAGGGAAGTCTTTATCCTCATCATATTCAGTATCATTTGGTTTTCATCATCAGGTATTTAAAGCGTGGTCTAAGACATTTAAAAAGTCTGTCATATGTGTGACTTTGTACCAATGTTTGATATAAGGGAATTGTTTTTGTTGAATTTGTTCTGCTATCCATCACTACATTCACCGTCTGCTGGTTCTACTATCTGTCTCTACCTTCTGCTGGTTCTACTATCTGTCTCTACCTTCTGCTGGTTCTACTATCTGTCTCTACCTTCTGCTGGTTCTACTATCTGTCTCTACCTTCTGCTGGTTCTACTATCTGTCTCTACCTTCTGCTGGTTCTACTATATGTCTCTACCTTCTACTGGTTCTACTATCTGTCTCTACCTTCTGCTGGTTCTACTATCCATCTCTACCTTCTACTGGTTTTACTATCTGTCTCTACCTTCTACTGGTTCTACTATCTGTCTCTACCTTCTGCTGGTTCTACTATCCATCTCTGCCTTCTGCTGGTTTTACTATCTGTCTCTGCCTTCTACTGGTTCTACTATCTGTCTCTACCTTCTGCTGGTTCTACTATCCATCTCTACCTTCTACTGGTTTTACTATCTGTCTCTGCCTTCTACTGGTTATACTATCTGTCTCTGCCTTCTACTGGTTCTGCTATCTGTCTCTACTTTCTGCTGGTTCTACTATACATCTCTGCCTTCTGCTGGTTCTATTATTCGTCTCTACCTTCTGCTGGTTCTACTATTCGTCACTGAATTTAGCTCTGCTGCTTCTTCAATCTGTCTCATTACCTTCACTTTTTTTCTGATTCTACTATTTGTCTCTACCTTCTGCTGGTTTCACTATCCGTCTGAATCATTATAGCCTACTGGTTCTACTACATGTCTGTATTATCAGAGTCTGGTTCTAGTGTCTGTATTATCGGTGTCTGGTTCTACTGTCGGTATTATCAGAGTCTGGTTCTAGTGTCTGTCTGTATTATCAGTGTCTGGTTCTACTGTCTGTATTATCAGAGTCTGGTTCTAGTGTCTGTCTGTATTATCAGTGTCTGGTTCTACTGTCTGTTTGTATTATCAGAGTCTGGTTCTACTATCTGTCTGTATTATCAGAGTCTGTTTCTGCTATCTGTCTGTACTATCAGAGTCTGGTTCTACTGTCTCTCTGTACTATCAGAGTCTGGTTCTACTGTCTCTCTGTATCATCAGAATCCGAATTCCACTCTCGGTAACTCGTTGGTAGACAAACGTCCGAATTCCACCTTCGCTAACTCGTTGGTAGACAAACGTCCGAATTCCACCTTCGCTAACTCGTTGGTAGACGAACGTCCGAATTCCACTCTCGGTAACTCGTTGGTAGACAAACATCCGAATTCCACTCTCGGTAACTCGTTGGTGGACAAACGTCCAAAGTCCACTATCGGTGACTCGTTGGTAGACAAACGTCCGAATTCCGCTCTCGGCGACTCGTTGGTAGACAAACGTCCGAATTCCACTCTCGGTAACTCGTTGGTGGACAAACGTCCAAATTCCGCTCTCGGTGACTCGTTGGTAGACAAACGTCCGAATTCCACTCTCGGTAACTCGTTGGTGGACAAACGTCCGAATTCCGCTCTCGGTGACTCGTTGGTGGACAAACGTCCAAATTCCACTCTCGGTGACTCGTTGGTAGACAAACGTCCGAATTCCGCTCTCGGTGACTCGTTGGTAGACAAACGTCCGAATTCCACTCTCGGTAACTCGTTAGTAGACAAACGTCCGAATTCCACTCTCGGTAACTCGTTGGTAGGCAAACGTCCGAATTCCACTCTAGGTAACTCTTTGGTGGACAACATCGAAAACACACCTGGGGTAGCTCGTTGGTAAATATTGTCGTATTTGCTGAGATTTGTCGCATTGTCGCCTCCCCAAAACGAGATGTGTGAAGCGTACAACATTTTTCGTTTAAGAAAAGGTTACATCGTGGTAAGAAAGGTCTAATTAGCTCAAAAAGAAATAATATAAATATTGGCAAAGCCATTCGGAGCGGGCTGTATATCATTACTGATGTATTTTATTGCGATAAACAAACATGACAAAATATTTAGCGACAGTTTTAATTCAACGTTAAGTTTAAGGAATTCTTCCTTCCTTGAATATTGCATTTATTGTGTTCCTAACAATTCCTAATGTTTCTGCTTTTCCTAGTCCGTCCTTTCAGATAATCTCTGTAGCTGAGTAAGATACTGACCCCTTTGTCTCGTTCAGCCAGACTCTTGTTGTCTGCACACGAAATGAAGCATCATGATGATCGAGACTATTTGTTGCCATGTCCGCCATATTGCTATTCGCCATTGGCGCAAAAGCATTACTAGGAATCCTCTTCCTTGTCAAAATGTTTAGGGTTTGCTTCGCATGCGGTGATAAGAAGCGATGACATATTGTTTCATATTTAACAGAAGAAACGTTTGAATATTGTTAATTCATAGGAAATAAAAAATCCCATAAAAGCTTCTGTTTACGCTGACAAATGGAACAATTAGAAATAACAAATAGAAATTAACTTGTTGTAAAATTAACACACATATATATGAATGTGTGTCTTTCTTTTAAACAGCCGGGTGAAATGAAAATGCCGTGTTTTTAGTTATTTTGTCGTCTTTTTTTTTTGTTCTTCTTTGTCTGCCTTCATGGTGTAAGATTATATGTGCATGACTTACTTACATATGGAAACTTTATTATTTCAACTTATAAAAATCACACTTGTTGTAAGCGTGAGAGGGGTTTAACTTTGGGAGGAAACCAGTATCCCTTCGGGGAATCGAACCCCGAACGACTAGGTGAAAGACAAGTGTGCTACAACTGTGCCACCAAATCACCGCCTGATTATGGTGATACATTGTTTTCTAGAAGAAGATGTGTTGTTGCTGCTGCTGATGATGATGATGATATATTGTACATTCGTATGTGCCGATGTTTTGTTCAAACCTTGGGAAATATACAACAACTTTTAAAAACACGCTTCAGTGCTGACATGGTCAGACGGTTCAAAATGTGCATCTTGCTGACCAACTTGCGCTGGTTTTTAGGCATTCCATATTAATATTGTGTTGGTTTTATTTGATGTCAAAATATAAAATAAATACATTCCTTTGTGTACATCAACTTTATCTTTGCCTACATCAAATAATCCAGATACAAAGGTAAATATGATGATTCTAATCCTGATAAAAAAATATCTCGCATCTAACACAGAAACATTAATACGTGGAATGGACCTCGGACCGGAGGTTTACCGTATCTTATGATACGAGTACCAGAGATTTACCGTATCTTAAGATACGAGTACCGGAGATTTACCGTATCTTATGATACGAGTACCGGAGATATACCGTATCTTATGATACGAGTACCGGAGATTTACCGTATCTTATGATACGAGTACCGGAGATAAACTATATGATACGCGCACCGGAGATATACCATATCTGATGATACAAGTACAGAGATTTACCGTATCTTATGATACGAGTACAAGATATTTACCGTATCTTATGATACGAGTACAAGATATTTACTGTATCTTATGATACGAGTACCGGAGATAAAGATACCGGTGTCAGGGCTATCATGGATACTCGGACCGGAGATTAAGATACCGGTGTCAGGGCTATCATGGATACTCGGACCGGAGATTAAGATACCGGTGTCAGGGCCATCATTGATACTCGGACCGGAGATAAAGATACCGGTGTCAGGGCTATCATGGATACTCGGACCGGAGATTAAGATACCGGTGTCAGGGCTATCATGGATACTCGGACCGGAGATTAAGATACCGGTGTCACGGCCATCATTGATACTCGGACCGGAGATAAAGATACCGCTGTCAGGGCAATCATTGATACTCGGACCGGAGATAAAGATACTGCTGTCAGGGCAATCATTGATACTCGGAGCGGAGATTAAGATATCGGTGTCAGGGATATAATTGATACTCGGACCGGAGATAACGATACCGGTGTCAGGGCAATCATTGATACTCGGACCGGAGATAAAGATACCGGTGTCAGGGCAATCATTGATACTCGGACCGGAGATAACGATACCGGTGTCATGGATATCATGTATACTCGGACCGGAGATAACGATACCGGTGTCAGGGCTATCATGGTTACTCGGACTGGAGATTAAGATACCGGTATCAGGGCAATCATGGATACTCGGACCGGAGATAAAGATACTGCTGTCAGGGCTATCATTGATACTCGGACCGGAGATAAATATACCGGTGTCAGGGCCATCATTGATACTCGGAGCGGAGATTAAGATATCGGTGTCAGGGATATAATTGATACTCGGACCGGAGATAACGATACCGGTGTCAGGGCTATCATTGATACTCGGACCGCAGATAAAGATACCGGTGTCAGGGCAATCATTGATACTCGGACCGGAGATTAAGATACCGGTGTCATGGATATCATGTATACTCGGACCGGAGATAACGATACCGGTGTCAGGGCTATCATGGATAGTCGGACCGGAGATAAAGATACCGGTGTCGGGGCCATCATTGATACTCGGACCGGAGATTAAGATACCGGTGTCAGGGCTATCATGGATACTCGGACCGGAAATAAAGATACTGCTGTCAGGGCAATCATTGATACTCGGACCGGAGATAGAGATACCAGTGTCAGGGCTATCGCTGATTAGCGGATCGGAGATTTACACAGATCATATGATATAGACTAAAACTAAGATGCCTTGGCTATCATTGGAATAATACAAACATTTCTAAATGCTCAATATCTTTCACCTTTCAGGTATCTCTTTAGGGATGTTTATGAGTTTCTGGGCACATGATACATATATACAGGTATAAGCATTGCTCTCACACATCTGAACATACTCTAATAACTGTGGGGGAGTTCACCATATAGAATGAAATCACTGAAATGTTAATTGTATCAACTCAATATTTCATTTTCTAAACTTTCTAATTTAATTTGATCTTTACAATTCCAAATTTAACATAAGATATCTGTGTTGCTTTTTAAGTTGATGGTGTTTATGTCCACGCATTGATATTGGTTGATGAATAATTTTCTTTTTTAAAAATGTACGGTATATTCAGTAACATCATGGCTAGATAATACAAAACAATGGAAGGATTAGGGGAAAATATAAAACAAAAAGATGTATGGAAAGCAAGAAAAGTTGTAATTCTGTTCAATTTTTAACTGTACAGCTGCTTTACCTTCTACGTAAACGGACGGAAGGATTAGACTTCTGGACAACGTTTACTGTGACTTATTAACATACATTTGTAATAACCGAGCGTGTTAATTAAAACTTTTCAAGATCATTTAAGCTGAACATGAGTTATTGTTTTTAAAACTCATATAGTATATATAAGTTTACAGATTCCAGAAAAATAATTCAGTATGTGTAAGAGTTATCTAGGAATCTGTATCGAAGATTAACTCTACATCGCAGTACATATGGGGTCACGTGGTGTGCATGGTTTTAATTTTAGTTATCCGCTAATCATACTATGATTTAGTATATATCGTATATATTGTATATATATATATATATATATATACAAATATCCTTATCAGAAAATATAGTGCATACAAAGTCTGCTCATGATATATGTGTGCTTTGAGACACAAAGCAACTTTCGTCACGCGATTTGTTGTCACGGACCGCTGCCCACGGCTTAAACATTTGTCTATTGATCGCTCATGATAAAACTTGTTTTTAGTGGGTTTTATTCATTATCCGGGAAATGTGTGATAACATATACAGCGACACAAGGAATACAGATGGATTTGTATTACTTGTATCACTGGTTATAATGGGTGAAAAACTCCATGCATATTTCAACTGGTGTCCAGAGGTGATCGGTTTGGAGAAATTGAACGTAACCCGCAAATCACACTCCAGTTATTTAAAGCACAGAACTCGGAACGTAACGACACTGATTATAATAATACACAACATTCTGAAACGGATCATGGAACGGTTATCAATGATATATAGCCTCAAAACAGACAAGGACAAAGAAAATATTGACAAATATGTAATTCGAACTATGGACAACAACATTCATACTTTCATGATAAGCAGTACAGCACGACAAGAATCATGGCAGCAATTGTAGAGAGTACATGTTAAAAACTGAGATCCAGATAATTAAGAATATTTTGTAACGACATAAGACCGCATTCCTCACGTGAAAACGACTGGTCATGATTGTCAGTCAGTTTATATTTTCAGATGTGTTACGTGCCGGGCCGGAGACGTTTTGTCCACAACTGCGTAGAGTGGTAATTGTTGGTCAGTGGGTGTAGTTTCATCTTGATCCGCTGTACTTTGGGAATTGCGAGGGCTATCAAATGAGCTGTCACTATAGTATGACGTGTTCTCGGTGCCTGTAAGGGGGTCATGTTCGATAACCACTGTTGTATCCTCGTCTGTAGTATTTTCTACTTTGCTCTCGTCCGTGTCGAGAACTTCCGGATCCTCCAAGATGGCGGTTGTGTCCTTTTCTACACGGTTTCCTCTGTCAGGAGGCGAAAGGCCCTCCGAGTAGAGTCTCTCCGCTGAAGCAAAACTTGTGATTCTTTCCGGGTCACTTTTAACAAGGATGGAATTCGGTCCAGTGGGAACGGACTCCGAATTGTCGTATAATACATTCTCTTTCATTCCGACGTTATTGTTCCCGTGATCGTGGCCAGTCCCTGCTTGAGCTGGGTGTTTTGCTCCGTGAAAGCCGCCGACGTAATAATCATTATTCCTTCGGGAAAGAGGTTCTTCTTTCGGTTTCTTACTTCTGGAAAAAAAGGAATGCATTTTACAATTTTAACAATAATAATGAATATTGCCACTTGCGCTCTCTGGATCAGGCAAACACAACAAAGTATGTACAATTGTCAATACCCGTGGTGATTAGGCTTGTTCATGAATGCCACACACAAGTGTTAAGACACTACTTGTTTGAAAACAGGAGTGCATGAAAAAGAAATTATCCGAAAATTTGAAAACATATAAAACGTACCTTATATTTTAAAATTATCTTGCTCGGACATTTAAAAGAAAATCATGTCGACTTTACTTTCGTCGATCGCGATCATAAATAAAGAAGAAACACACTGTCTTATTTCTACTTGAATACTTCTGCTGCATTAGGCATCAGGTGAGTGCAGCCTTTCAGTCAAACATATCAGGCATCAGGTGAGTGCTGACTTTCAGTCAAAGATGTCAGGCATCAGGTGAGTGCAGCCTTTCAGTCAAACATGTCAGGCATCAGGTGAGTGCAGCCTTTCAGTCAAACATGTCAGGCATCAGGTGAGTGCAGCCTTTCAGTCAAAAATGTCAGACATCAGGTGAGTGCTGGCTTTCAGTCAAACATGTCAGGCATCAGGTGAGTGCAGCCTTTCAGTCAAACATGTCAGGCATCAGGTGAGTGTAGCCTTTCAGTCAAACATGTCAGGCATCAGGTGAGTGCTGACTTTCAGTCAAACATGTCAGACATCAGGTGAGTGCTGACTTTCAGTCAAACATGTCAGGCATCAGGTGAGTGCTGACTTTCAGTCAAACATGTCAGGCATCAGGTGAGTGCTGACTTTCAGTCAAACATGTCAGGCATCAACACTTTGTCAAACATGAGGCATCAGGTGAGTGCTGATTGTCAGACATCAGGTGAGTGCTGATTTTCAGTCAAACAAGTCAGGCATCAGGTGAGACGTTTTAACTAACTCAGCATTTGATTACTGTATGTTTCTTTGGAATGTGAAAATGATGAATTCCGATTTATGTCCTATCAAAAATAAGGGGAAAATCCATTTTCATTTTTTAAATTTTGAACTTCAAACTAAAATCCATTGATGTGCTTAAGGTAATTTATCTTTTAAATGTTTGTTGAAATTCTGTGGTTATCTAGTGTGAACGTAATATTTCAGGCCGAGTCGCTTTGATGAAACATTTCTTTCTTTAATAAGTAGATGAATTCAGTTTATGATCTGTGCAGTGATATATTTGTGTGTGCTACAGAGCGTCATGTCAGTAACTATGCCGTTTAGAAAACATCACAATGTTTCTTATAACTTAATACACAATAGTTGCATGGCCTGATACACTACATAACTTTATAATTGACGAGATCAACTGTATCCTTCAACATAAACACATTTAGAGTCACGGACTAGCGACGCGATACACAATTCAAAGGTCAAAAATTAGGCTGAAAAATATTATGCGGAAGTGTTTTTGTCGTAAAAATGATCTCACGATTCTACTACCATGTAAAACGTGTAGCTGGACATGTTTGATACTCGTTATTATACCTGTTGGTGACATTGTTCTTGTTTGGGAACGTGACATTGCACTTTAACTGTAGATTCCTAGTAAATCTCTGTTGTTGATAAATTTCCCTCTCAACAATTTTGAGATCGTTATGTTGCAGATTCGAAGGTTTCTCCTACGATTCCCTCCCAACAATGAAGATACCAAACTCGACCTGCTGTCCACATTGTTGGACCGATCGTTTTCTTTATGCTCATTGTTACCCCGTTTGAATTTCACTCCAGACCAGCTTGCTTAGTGATAAGACGTGATTGTATAAAGACGTTTAAGTAAATGCACGCTATGATTGATGTCGTTTTCGTACGTCTTGTACACATTAGTACTTTTCGGGGATTGTAAAATTTTTATTTTTTGTGTATGGTTCTTACCTGTTACAGCAAGACAAGCACACAATCAGTAGAACGAACAACAGGAAAATCCCAGTCACTGTCGGAATGATAATTTTTACTGGAACAAAAACCAAACAACTTCGGATGTAAGATCTTCCAATCAATTCGTAAAATTTTATCGTAAATCACTTGTCAACACTGATGATTATGTTTTCCCCTACTTTATCTGTTCAATCACGTGACATCACATATACAATTGAATGTATTTCTCATTTGAATTGATGGTAGAACTTAATAAGGTTTTAAATCGCTTGGTTGGTTTAATACCTGACGCACATTGATAGACAAATCTCAACTGGTTAGAAGAGATTAATTGGATCTAATAGCTATTGAACTGGAACCACAGAATCCACAGATCGTACACAAAAAGGACGGACACTACAAACATATATAGACAGACACAGAATACACAGATCGTACACAAAAAGGACAGACGCTACAAACATATATAGACAGACACAGAATCCACAGATCGTACACAAAAAGGACAGACACTACAAACATATATAGACAGACACAGAATACACAGATCGTACACAAAAAGGACAGACACTACAAACATATATAGACAGACACAGAATACACAGATCGTACACAAAAAGGATAGACACTACAAACATATATAAGAGACAGACACAGAATCCACAGATCATACACAAAAAGGACGGACACTACACACACATATATATAGACAGACACAGAATCCACAGATCGTACACAAAAAGGACTGACATTACACACATATATATAGACAGACACAGAATACACAGATCGTACACAAAAAGTACGGACACTACACATATATATATAGACAGACACAGAATACACAGATCGTACACAAAAAGGACGGACACTACACACATATATATAGACAGACACAGAATCCACAGATCGTACACAAAAAGGACGGACACTACACACACATATATATAGACAGACACAGAATACATAGATCATACACAAAAAGAACGGACACTACACACATATATAGACAGACACAGAATCCACAGATCGTACACAAAAAGGACTGACATTACACACACATATATAGACAGACACATAATACACAGATCTTACACAAAAAGGACTGACACTACACGCACATATATAGACAGACACAGAATACACAGATCGTACACAAAAAGGACTGACATTACACACACATTAATAGACAGACACAGAACACACAGATCGTACACAAAAAGGACTGACACTACACGCACATATATAGACAGACACAGAATACACAGATCGTACACAAAAAGGACTGACATTACACACATATAGATCGTACACAAAAAAAGGACGGACACCACATCATATAGACAGACACAGAATATACAGATCGTACACAAAAAGGACTGACACTACACGCACATATATATAGACAGACACAGAATACACAGATCGTACACAATAAGAACAAGCTGAAGTTTCAGTTAAGTCACATGAAACACTCACAGTTGTGTTGGTTTTGCTCAAAATCATCATCACCATCATCACCATCATTAAACGCCGCCCCTGACCTGGAAGTTGACGATGATGGGATTGTTGGTGACTGTGTTGAAGTGGTTGAGGCGGGACGTATAGTGGAGGTGGTTGTGGTGCTGCTGCTGGTGGTGGTGGTGGTAGTAGTAGTGGTGGTGGTGGTAGGAACAGGTGTTGGTGAGGCTGTGGTAGGCAAAGGCTGAAGTGTACGCAGTGTTGCTTTCGCAGTTGTTGGTTTTGGAGTTGCTGTTGGGATTGAGTTTGGAGTTGTAGTTGTTGTGGTTGGTTTTGGAGTTGTGGTTGGTTTTGGAGTTGAAGTTGTTGTTGTGGTTGGTTTTGGAGTTGGTTTTGGAGTTGTGGTTGTTATAGTTGGTTTTGGAGTTGGTTTTGGAGTTGTGGTTGTTGTTGTAGTTGGTTTTGGAGTTGGTTTTGGAGTTGTGGTTGTGGTTGTAGTTGGTTTTAGAGTCGTAGTTGTTGTAATTGGTTTTGGAGTTGGTGTTGGAGTTGTGGTTGTTGTTATAGTTGGTTTTGGAGTTGTGGTTGTAGTTGGTTTTGGAGTTGTTGTTGTGGTTGTAGTTGGTTTTGGAGTTGTGGTTGTAGCTGCACTTGGACACGTGACAGAAATTGTCGATGACGTATCATCTGAAATATAAAACAAGGCATGATATATCATTCCTTAATTATGCTTATAACCTTTGATGTACCACAAGTCACAGCATGTTTTCAAACAATTAACTGTCACTGTGTGGTGGTATATACAGTCGATATGAATGCAATTTGGAAGACATCCTATCAATCTGTAACCCAGATTGCATTTATATCATCTGTATACTGCCATCTTACAATGCTTACATTGCATTCATATATAATTCGCTTAATCTGAGACAAGTTCAGCTTCAGCAGATACTAACGTCAGCCTAACACAGTTCCTCAGGTCAGCATTAACACTTGTATAAAACCACAAGATCATAAATATAACCTTATTTTTTGTATGAAAGTGTGTGCTTGTTTTGAATAAAAGTCATTCACTTCATATTAACATCGTCAATAAGAGACAACTATCACAAAGATATTTTGTTTGTGCCAACTTCCACTGTCAGATAGACGTCTACCAAACAATGTTGACAATCTTCGTATGTTAGGGTTTAATAAGAGTTTGACAGCAAATTGTGCATTTGACAATAAATATGTTCTGTCAGCATTCTATAGCTTTGTAAAGTGACATGAACATATTTTATTTTGTTTTATAAGGACCTCTGACTTAAGGCTGACAATGTTTTGGGTATACCAAGAAAAGCCGTATACAATATTTCTTTATTGGGGTACATATAACTGTAGAACAGACCGAATAACTGTTAAATTGTCAAATAAATAAACGGCACTTTGTCGAGTTTACATAGAAACACTCGTTATCCAGTGAGGTCAAACGGAGAGTCAGCTCCCCCTGGTTACCCAATGTGATGTCAGTGAAAGAAATATTTGAAACATGACTCCACTGCGATAATAGAAAACCTGCTTAGTTATTATAAAGCCACTGGACCATTGCATATAAAGAAAACCTAATGGATCGTGTCTTATTTCTAAATCTATATATATACTCAAATATATATCTCAATGTATATAGTGAAAATGTGATGAATTCTCCGTATATATATATGTATATGTATGTATGTATATATATTTAAATGTCGGGTGAAATAGGTACACGCGGATATCGCTTCGCACTATACCTGTAATTCATATGAAGTCAAATTAGTTAAGAGCAAGCTAACACGAAAATCATCCCCGGAAGTTCAGACTACTTTTTGTCGTCAATAGAAAAGATATCAACTTTTCATGTATTATAACTTAACTTAAAATTAGATAGTGTCATTACCAACATATCTTTTCGGAAGTTCAATTGAAATCGTTTTGACGGTAAAACTCAATTTTAAAAAAATGGTATCAAATTCAATGTCATACGGTATAACGGTATTGAAACAGATATCAAGTAAGATATCTTCCGTGTTTAAGAAAAGATTTCATTGTTTGATAAGTCACATAAAGAAGTTTCTATATTTCCATATTTATGTTTAAAATTCTTCTGGATAGAGCCAAATTTCCTGTCAATGCTTTCTTAATCTGACGAAAATGGGGAAAAAAGAGCAAATCATGTTTCTTAAAAATATTTGATTTTATCCTAAATATATAGAAAATTCCAATGTGACGTGCCTTTTGATGTCTATTTAAGGTGTTGTTATTCGAAGGCAACATCGATGTGGTTAGAGAATATGATATTAACAGGAGTTTCGAGAACGTAGTTTAAGAATTAGTCATTTTGAAGTGTAAACCACCGAGGAGTGGACCACTGCAGTAAGAAGACAAAAAATATTGATATTCACTACCTGTATAAACCACCAAGGAGTGGATAATAAAGTTGTAATACTTGTCTTATACAGAGTTAGAAAATCAAATAGAATGATAAACAGTATCTGGAATCACTCCCTGCCGGTCTATTCAGAGTAACTGTGATGACGTCACCGTTTGATACCGCCATCTTTTCGCCTACCGCATTGCAACGTCCCAAAAAACTTCCACCGGAAGCGACTTCCACCGAAACAGAAGAGCCACAAAATGGAGCAGGTTCAAGGTTTTCGAAATTCGCAATTGAAAGAAATACATTATCTGCTAGATAGTTCACTACAGCCGTGCATCCGCACGTGTTGCCGTTGTTTGTCTTATACATGTCAATGAGTACACTCCTGCCTGTGGCGGTGTCTCCGCTACACATCTGAGAAACTGAAGAAAATCAAATAGAATTAAAAGATAGTGTGTATTCGTCTCTGGACAAATATTTTAAAAGTTTATTTGAATGTACGTGCCCCCCACCACTTCAAAAATGCAAAAATCATGGAGAAAGGGACAATTTTTTTTACCTGAGAACTTACTACCTGTATAAACCACCGAGGACTGGACTAGATATAGATACGGTATACTACTTACTACCTGTATAAACCACCGAGGAGTGGACTAGATACGGTATACTTACTACCTGTATAAACCACCGAGGAGTGGACTAGATACGGTATACTTACTACCTGTATAAACCACCGAGGAGTGGACTAGATACGGTATACTTACTACCTGTATAAACCACCGAGGAGTGGACTAGATATAGATACGGTATACTTACTACCTGTATAAACCACCGAGGAGTGGACTAGATACGGTATACTTACTACCTGTATAAACCACCGAGGAGTGGACTGGATACGGTATACTTACTACCTGTATAAACCACCGAGGAGTGGACTAGATACGGTATACTTACTACCTGTATAAACCACCGAGGAGTTGACTAGATACGGTATACTTACTACCTGTATAAACCACCGAGAAGTGGACTAGATATAGATACGGTATACTTACTACCTGTATAAACCACCGAGGAGTGGACTAGATATAGATACGGTATACTTACTACCTGTATAAACCACCGAGGAGTGGACTAGATACGGTATACTTACTACCTGTATAAACCACCGAGGAGTGGACTAGATATAAACCACCGAGGAGTGGTTTACTATATTCGGTAGTGGTAGATACTTACTACCTGTATAAACCACCGAGGAGTGGACTAGACGGTATACTTACTAGATACGGTATACTTACTTACTACCTGTATAAACCACCGAGGAGTGGACTAGTATACTTACTACCTGTATAAACCATACGGTATACTTACTACCTGTATAAACCACCGAGGAGTGGACTAGATACGGTATACTTACTACCTGTATAAACCACCGAGGAGTGGACTAGATACGGTATACTTACTACCTGTATAAACCACCGAGGAGTGGACTAGATATAGATACGGTATACTTACTACCTGTTTAAACCACCGAGGAGTGGACTAGATATAGATATGGTATACTTACCAGGGTACCCGTATATACCACCGAGAAGTTGGCAGTCAGTGTTAGCTGTAACTGAAATACAAGTTACAGAAATCATTTATCATACAAATTAAACGCCTCTTGATATATTAGCTTTATATTGGGTATTAAAATCCGCACAAGTTATCCTTGGCTTGTAAAAATTAATGTTTCGGAGAAAAAATTGTGTACTATTTTTTGCGCGTATCAATTTTCAGAAATCCTGTCAGATTTCACTGTGTTAGCCAATCGGATCGTTTTACATATTTATACTATGTGTGCTATACATGTATAGTGTAATAAAGGTCTTAAAGATTAATTGATGTTTTTAGAATTTACGAAATTCAACATTTTGTAGAAGAAACTAGTTTAACCGTGTTAAAAATTAACTACATATTAACTGTAGATAAAGAGGTATTCGTCATATACCACGTGATAAACCTTTTACGTGTAGATAAACAGTTATAACCTTGTTAAATAAATTAACTATTATAGATAAAGAGGTATTCGTCATATACCACGTGATAAATCATGTACCTGTAGATAAACAGTTATAACCTTGTCAACTAAATTAACTACATATTAACTGTAGATAAAGAGGCATTCGTCATATACCACGTGATAAACCATGTACGTCTAGATAAACAGTTATAACCGTGTTAAATAAATTAACTATTGTAGATAAAGAGGTATTCGTCATATACCACGTAATAAGCATTGTACCTATAGATAAACAGTTATAACCGTGTTAGATAAATTAACTACATATTAACTGTATTCTGGTATACTTTAACTGGTATTTGCTGTATATACATGTACCTATGTATAACCCAGATCACTATGTTCAGGTCTGACGCCGTGTGTTATCAAGGTTATTTCCGTTGTAACATAATATCATTTACATTCCAAAATACATAGGCTTCATATTAAAGCTATGTCATGTTAGTATAAATCATATAAGTTAGAAGTCATATCTGCTATAATTTATCTAAAGCATGTATGTTTTGAGCAGCCGATTAACTGGTTTGGAGTGTCTGACTATCATACCATGACGATCACGAAAAAATAAAAATTAGTCGTCATTACGATATTTAAAGCGAGGCTGGAATGTGACTCGACAAATATCTGACAGGTGTGGCTTAGTTTTGTTTCTTATTGTATTATTCTCAAAATCACCAGAACAAGAAGTAAAGCAGAGGAAATAAAACCGCCCCTGTCACACGAGTGTTTACAGGAACTAATTAAGTATTACACCGGCCACTGTGATCACACAGTCATCAAAGCGTTATACATATATGTAGTATACTAATATCATAATAGCAAAACAATTTCATTTCAAATAAAAATCTACTTTTAATACAAAATTTTAATCATATTAAATAAAAAAAAAAAAAAACATTGCGTCAAAATCTTTCTAAAACTAAAAACACGACGTCAGATAAATATATATAGCAAAACCAGGCCCATGTTAGCAGCGAAATTGGTAGATAATAGTGCACACTAGAACATCACTAGAGCATTAAGAAGTGTTTGTTGTATAACCTCAAAGATCTTACCTTGCAAGAGCGTTAGAGAGAGAATAAGAAGTTGGTGCAGTGACGCCATGTTAAAGTACCACTCGCCGACCTAACTGAGGGTGCTCATCCGCACCCTGTCTCAATGATCTATAAATAGCACAGGGTAAGTTACACTTCACATAAACTCGTTTTGACGTAGGTATTAGACATTAACTTGTAAATAAAAATGGAAGTGTTGATCATGGAAGGAGATGTATACACTTGTAGACCCTACACTGAGTACGGATTTGTTTCGATTTGGAGTGTACCATGGACAAGGTAAATACGACCGGGTGGTCTGGAGTTCGAACCCATGATCTCCGGCTAGTGACGATAGTAGCAACAGCCATGCTATACATTGCAGTCCACTGTTCAGAGACAGAAATCCTTGTAAATCTGAAAAAAAGTACAAAAACATACGTAACGTAATCAGGGGTGTAGTTTAAAATGTACTCTTGAACGTTTTCATTGTATAGCCTTAAATTACTTCATATTATACAATTGAAGGTCAAGAAAGTATGGGTATTGTGGTTAGTTCCAATTCCCAGTTACCCAGTTATTTGAAGTGCACACCTTCGACTAAACGTGATCGCTTCGATATGGTTAGCGCCGATCTGTGACGTCACAAGTTCAGCGCTGTCAAAACAGCTCTATAGAAATATACGAGGAAGCTTCCAACTGGCATTGTAACTACTTATGTGATATTTACCACTGACACACTTCTGTAGGTTATATCTGAAGTGCTACATACACAAATAGAACTGACTTTTGAGTAGACAAATGATATTAGGTATGCGGATATCTAATCATACGGGCGGATGCCGGGCCCGGATCAGTTTATACGCAGTTTCCAAGTCCAGTAACAACCTTTTCCTACAATATTCAGCATCTGTACCAATATGTCCCCATCCAAGAGGGATCTCATTCAACACTGTACTTCTTCGTTTTTCGCAGCTTGGAATCCTTCATCGCCCATTCTCTACAGGATAGAAGTTTCTTTCGTTTTAGTTAACAGGAGCCATGTCGATCGTCCTGTGATGACGTTTATCCTAGCCTTCATCACGTGTCTACATAATTTATCTGGTCCAGAGAAAATTCTGGCATTTATCAGGGTCGTAATAAACGTCTCTCAAGTATTTGTCCCGCGTAGACCCCCTTCTTCATTAACAGTCAAAATCAATATGAGTCTTGTTGCTTGATACTCAGAAATATATTCGTCCTCCTCGTCATCTGACTCGTCCTCTGATTCTTCGTCTTCCAGCATCTCGTCTAAGATATGGCGGCTCTTTTTGAGCGCCATTTTGATCGCTCTGTGATCCTGGTAACCTTCATGTGTTAATTCTGCCATGTCTTTCGTGGATGGATCCGTTTTTAAGCTGGAGAGTGTAATGAAGAATCGCTCCGCAGTTTTCAATGAACTGACCCATATCTTTTACTTTCATTTTCTCGTTTGCTTCACCATCAGACGTACCTTCATTCACGTATTTCTCGTGTTTTTGTTTCCAATCTGATTCGTTAGCAGAGCTGGGTTTTATTCATCATGAAATCAAATGCCTCGTGCCCTTCACTATCTGTTTCACGTGACTCCAAACTCTCGTGAGACTGATAAAATTTGTCACTTGTAACTGAGATCTGGGTATCTTTGTCGAGGGCTAAGATCCTGTAACATAATCCCAACCGAGGCATTAGCCGATCCTATTTTATCTACAACATCAGGAATATTAACGACATCAAAAATTTTAACAACGACATAACCTACGTTTTTTGTTGAAATGCACGGGTGTAGGTGCCACCAACGACTCCACGCGGATGAATTCACCGATGCGTAAAAAAATCCGCGAAAACGCACTTAAGGGAACTAGACAAATCAGGCGTGAAGAAAAATCTAGGATAGAGTATTACGTGGGATACCCCTGTCTATGATGAGAAAAAAAAAACATTTCTTGGCCGCAGGTTCATTTTCATTCTCCGAATTTCTTTGAGGAGAATCGTTTTCGGGACACTAGCTTTTCACGTGACCATGTAAGTCATGGATGTCTTGGGACACGATACCACAAGCGTCACAGGCCGACATTTCTTCTGTTTCTTGTGGAGTACCTTCGGTATAGTGATGTTCAGGTGTTTCTTGTTGCTGATAACACGGCCGGCCGCTAGGAGCGCTACTACCGAAATGGAGTACCTCCGGTATAGTGATGTTCAGGTGTTTCTTGTTGCTGATAACACGGTCGGCCGCTAGGAGCGCTGCTTCCGAAATGGAGTACCTCCGGTATAGTGATGTTCAGGTGTTTCTTGTTGCTGATAACACGGTCGGCCGCTAGGAGCGCTGCTACCGAAATGGAGTACCTCCGGTATAGTGATGTTCAGGTGTTTCTTGTTGCTGATAACACGGTCGGCCGCTAGGAGCGCTGCTACCGAAATGGAGTACCTCCGGTATAGTGATGTTCAGGTGTTTCTTGTTGCTGATAACACGGTCGGCCGCTAGGAGCGCTGCTACCGAAATGATCTTAAATAACAATAAGTAGTTTTATTGAAACGTCGCATTAGATGAAGGACATGGTCGGGATACATCTGTCGTGCCAAGGTCATGACCTTTTGTTTATCCACTGGGTGGTGGAACATCACTAATTAATGACAGTTTCTTCGTTGTGTGGGACCTTTGTTGTAATAGAGGTTTTGATTAATGGCAGACACTGACAAACTTCTGTGATGGCTGGTTTCGGTAACTAGCATTGTTGCATTGTTGTTTTAGATAATATTTAGTATCTTGTATCCTGTCAGGTTTTAGTTTTTGCCCATATTTGTACATGTGTACATGAGGTACATTGTACTGGTGCTAATTGCTCAACTGAGCTAAAGTTACGTTTTCAAAACATGACTTTAAATTTTTCTAAAAATCTTGTATCTTGTATTTGTTTCCGGTATCCCCTACTAAACTCATGTAAACAATGCATGCCCATTGAGGTTTATCGTTTGATCATATACACACGTTTAGTCGCTACAGAAAGGATTATAATATACTGTAACGAATGCTTCTTCTTATACTACTGATAATTTCGAAGGATAATTAATAGAGTGATTTTTTGTACTCACTAGAAGTAACCTCAGTAGCCAGCTATCACCCATGTTGATTTTATATAGAAATAACACCATTAATAGGAAAATCTGCCTCAAGTTCCGCTTCCGAGTACTCGATCGGATTTACTGCAGTTTAAGTCGTTGTCACAGTTTGTACAGAAATAGATCGTTGTCATAAGTACATCATTTCTATTTTCTTGACTACATAATTCCTACAAACGTGTTTCCCGTTGAATTGTCTTCACTGGCCATTTACTGCAAACAAATGAATAATTAATTCGACGCTCAGCAGGCCTTGTTGTTAGAGTTGTTCCCCTTTGCTCTCCGATGTACACTAGCATGTCGATTGAAGGATTTCTTCCACACAAATCACAAGTTCGTCAAACTGCGTAAAATAAGGACAGTAAAGTATATTCTGATGGAAATATCAGTGAAGTACTTTAACATATTAGACATTTGATAATACTACATCTACAACCCAAATTCATGATGTGTCTACAGAATTGTCCAAACCACTCTGACCTCCAATTATGTCGTTGTCATTAGGATTACTTAGCGATGTCAGGGTTCTAACGTAAGGAAATCTAGAAATACAGTTTCACTGCGTCCAATTGGAACTTTAATGTGGACAGCAGGTACGGTTCTACTACCTGAATACAGGACCGTACCACATCAACCTCACGGTACCACGGTCTATTACTGACTGGTAAATCTATCACTTTTACGGTAGTTCGAAGCCTGCCTGCATGATGCATGAGACAAATTATAAAAGCACCTCTGATAATTTTGTTTTCACGGTGGAGTGTAGGTGTGAACAAATATTGCGCTTTCTATAAAAACGAATTTCAGGAAGCTGAGAAACGGACCGGTCTATGATCTCGTGGTTGTGCTCTTAATTTTTGAACAATACACCTTGCCCTGATTGATTTTGATTGGTGGTGTGCGGCGGTCCTTCCGTATGTTGTTCAGTTATGTCGCCACCAGCAAACCTTGTCTCACGATGACCAGACTGTTCACCCCTCCCACAAATTACACTACCACTGTTGATAGTTATTTTATGTTTCTTTTTAAGTACTGAATTTTTCAAAAATTTTATCCAAAAGGCATTACGTTGTTATTTAATGGTATATTTCTGTAGTAAGTGAGAACTAGTCATAATTATATACTTATAAATTAGAAAGTTTTGTCCCAAAAGTTACGGAGGCCTGTCAGAATCCGACAGTACCAACAAAAATCTAGTTTATGACATCAAAGTCACGTGATCTGTTTCTAGTACTTCTGTCATAAACGTCTCCTCAGACATTGCAATAAACTTCCGGTGTATTGATCGTGCTGTAGACTATAATATCACTCCCGTCTAAATCGCCTGAATTATCCGAACCAACGATTAATGCATTCAAATTGGACTCATTTTTTTGTCTTCGGCTTCAACACGGAAGTGGAATTATTTGTTTAATGAACCACACATGTGCAGGTGACACGTACCGTCGCACAGGTGCTTGGATATTTACACAACATTTGTATAACGCAAATTATACAATAGTCTGGGCACATAACAATATCACGACGAAAAAAACCGAAAAAGCCTCTGAAATATCCGGATACTTATATATATATATATACGTCCTGTCCAGTTCGAATATGGTTCCCCGGAAAATAATGACATTTGAATATCACTTCAAACTTCATATTAACGAAATTTCAGTGCCAGTTAACCGGCCAAGAATGAAAAAGAACCACGCCTGACTTAAATTATTCATGTTATGTTTAAGGTTGCGAAAGAAGATAGTTTTCTTTCCAACAATTGAAGACATGCGCAATGATACTAGATATATGGTGGAATCGCACTCATGCGTGACGACTGATTAATCAACGAAAGTCAACAATAGAGGACAGCGGAGATCGTGTGCAAGTTTGTATACCACATTTAGTAACACCCATACAAAATGACTGTACAATGCCACGCCTTACCACATGAAATATTAAATGGGATGGACTAATTTCCACCAAGCGTACTCTCAGGAACATTAAGTAGTTTTACCGGAGTAATTTCTTAGTATGGCTGTCCGAGGGACGATCTCTACATGGACATCTGTGTTTACTGTCACCTGTTTATTCCTGTGGGTCAAAGGTAAGGGTGTTTAGGGATTCGTCCGCTTCATATTAAGATATCGAGGGTTATTTCTGTCAGGCTGACAATAACTTGTTCAAACTTTAAGCTGTACTTTCTATAATTATCTGATACAGGTTTCTGAGTATCATCCGTGTTTTCGTCTCCCCAACGATTACACGAGACGTAGATGATTTAAATGTGAAAATGATTACTCACATATTGGACAAGTCTACAAATTGTGCACGGGTATATTGTTTTTAATAATGTCCCTCTTGTGGCTGTCTTTCATATACAATCATCTGTTCTATCGATTTTTAATATCCATCCGGCGCTGCCTGATGTTTTTGTTTGCCGTCCGTAGGTCGGAGTCCCTATACATAATTAATGTGGATCCATTATACACTTGGAAATGTCGATACCTGTAATACAACAGTACTACCTTCTTAGACAAATATCTCTAGATTGAAGGATTATGATAACATCACGAATCGGTTTGGCAGTGACGACGTGATCAGAAAAGTGCTTGTTGTAGAAAAAAGAACAGTCCAATTTAATGGTTCGACGATAAGGAGTTGCAGCCCTAACAGAACTCCATTTAATGTTATATAGTAACGACAGAACAGTATGATGTTCAGAAATTTATATGAGAATTAAAAATTAACTACAATGTTGCTACAAAAGCGATCTGGAATGAAATTGATATGAACCTATAAATTAAAAATGTCTTCATAAAAAAAGTTCGTTAAACAGCTGGATTCTGTACACTTAAACCTATTCAGTTAGACGTAAATATCTGTCAATGAACTGGTTCTGAATACTCAATTTGTCAACAGAGAGGTCCGTGTGATGTGTAAATAATATATGTGTACGGTTTGATGACATGGTCTATTGTACTTACACACAAACCTACTGAATTACAAATACAAATACCGTCCAGTGTCTAACACTGCAGTGTAATGTTAAATAGAAACAGTAGTTAGTAGGCATATACCCTAACAAGAGAAATGCACAACGAAATGTACACATAACGAGTGTTGTTTAGAATCTGTTGTAAGTAATTACTATATATTCAGGGCTAGAGGCCGGAACCATCGTTCTCTTTAAACACCTATAATTACAGGTACATGTCATTTTCCTCTGACATCATACACAGAACGTGACCATGAAACATTGAACTGTTGTACAATAGAATCGTCTTGCTGAATAATCAACCCGGATGTAGAGATCGATGTTTCACCCGGCTAATGACAGCTGGAAGTGAATTTGTCAGTATAGGGTAATTTTTAGAACATCAGAATAAATATAAGACATTTTGAAAGCAAACTTTTTAAGAAACAAAAACATTTTATTAACATTTCTGTCTTTCAATTATATGCTGTCATGGGTAAGTGGTTTTCTTGTTGCGACACACGACAAACCTGTTGTCTACATAGCGTCTCGACATATATGTACCTATATAAGTTTGTAACACTGGGTCTGTCTGTGAAGACATGTTGCTATATAAGTCTGTGTTACTGTGTCTGTCTGTGTAGACATGTACCTATATAAGTTTGTGATACTGTGTCTGTCTGTGTAGACATGTACCTATATAAGTCTGTAAGACTGTGTCTGTCTGTGAAGACATGTACCTATATAAGTCTGTGACACTGTGTCTGTCTGTGAAGACATGTTCCTCTATAAGACTATGACACTTGTCTGTCTGTGGAGACATGTAGCTATATAAGTCTGTGTTACTGTGTCTGTCGGAAGACATGTAGCTATATAATGCTGTAACACTGTGTCTGCCTGTAAAGATATGTACCTATATAAGTCTGTGATACTGTATCTGTCGAAATACATGTAGCTATATAAGTCTGTGATACTGTGTCTGTCTGTGAAGACATGTACCAGTATAAGTCTGTGACACTGTGTCTGTCGGAAGACATGAAGCTATATATGTCAGTAACACTGTGACTGTCTGTGAAGACATGTACCTACATAAGTCTGTGATACTGTGTCTGTCTGTGTAGATATGTAGCTATATAAGTCTGTGATACTGTGTTTGTCTGAAGACATGTACCTCTATAAGTCTATGACACTTGTCTGTCTGTGAAGACATGTACCTATATAAGTCTGATACTGTGTCTGTCTGTGAAGACATATACCTATATAAGTCTGTGATACTGTGTCTGTCTGTGAAGACATGAACCTATATAAGTCTTTAACACTGAGTCTGTCTGTGAAGACATATACCTATATAAGTCTGTGATACTGTGTCTGTCTGTAAAGACATGTACCTATATACGTCTGTGATACTGTGTCTGTCTGTAAAGATATGTACCTATATAAGTCTGTGATACTGTGTCTGTCTGTGAAGACATGTACCTCTATAAGTCTATGACACTTGTCTGTCTGTGAAGACATGTACCTATATAAGTTTGTGATACTGTGTCTGTCTGTGTACACATGTAGCTATATAAGTCTGTGATAATGTGTCTGTCGGAAGACATGTTCCTCTATAAGACCATGACACTTGTCTGTCTGTCGGAAGACATGTAGCTATATAAGTCTGTGATAATGTGTCTGTCGGAAGACATGTAGCTATATAATGCTGTAATACTGTGTCTGTCTGTGAAGACATGAACCTATATAAGTCTTTAACACTGGGTCTGTCTGTGAAGACATATACCTATATAAGTCTGTGATACTGTGTCTGTCTGTAAAGACATGTACACATATAAGTCTGTGATACTGTGTCTGTCTGTGTAGACATGTACCTGTATAAGTCTGTGACACTGTGTCTGTGAAGACATGTAACTATATAAGTCTGTAATAATGTGTCTGTCTGTGTAGACATGAACCTATATAAGTCTGTGAAACTGTGTTTGCCTGTGAAGACATGTACCTCTATAAGTCTGTGACACTGTGTCTGTCTGTGAAGACATGTACCTATATAAGTCTGTGACACTTTGTCTGTCTGTGAAGACATTAATCTACAAAACCTATCACGTGTCTTTCTATGAAGACATCTTTTAATTCAATATTAAACTTAATACCATAGCTGACCTACTTTATTTATACGACTGGGTAAAGTAAACACTTTGTCTAGTCCGAGTTACCTGCCATGACGATGTTATTCCTTAAACTGCAAAGTACAATTAGAAGGCGGCAATTCCTGCATTCCGAATATAAATGTTTGTTAACAACTATCCCGTTGTCGGCTGGCTGTCACGCTATGTCAGGTTCTATACTGTTTTTCCTAGTTATTTCGTAATCATACCTTTTTATGACTGAAACATATACCTGTACATCAATTTCTACACAGTACAGATACAATCACCCAGCCGATACTGTTTTTATCTTATTTAACTGTTACAATGCTTCTCCTTTGGCGAGGCCATCGTTTATGTCTCCTTTGTTAAAACAAGGTAAACTAAGCTTTAAAGTCTTAAACACAAAGAAACGGCGTTCTGTTTTTATATCTAGGTTTTTCATGTATATTTTATCAAGCTAAAATGTGATCAATGGGATTCATTCCAAAATTAAAACACTCAGACATGAATTAAAAAGTAATTATATTACAATCATATTGCTTGCTTTGGTTACTTACATTTAGATATATATATCGCTTTTAAGAACTTCATGTCTACACCTCGCCTATTATAGTTATTCAGGTGTACACCTCACCTATTATAGTCATTCAGGTGTACACCCGCTTATTACAGTCATTCAGGTGTACACCCACCTATTATAGTCATTCAGGTGTACACCTCGCCTATTATAGTCATTCAGGTGTACACCAGCCGATTATAGTCATTCAGGTGTACACCCGCCTATTATAGTCATTCAGGTGTACACCTCGCCGATTATAGTCATTCAGGTGTACACCCGTCTATTATAGTCATTCAGGTGTACACCTCGCCTATTATAGTCATTCAGGTGTACATCTCGCCTATAATAGTCATTCAGGTGTACATCTCACCTATTACAGTCATTCAGGTGTACACTTCGCCGATTATAGTCATTCAGGTGTACACCCGCCTATTATAGTCATTCAGGTGTACACCCGCCTATTACAGTCATTCAGGTGTACACCCGCCGATTACAGTCATTCAGGTGTACACCTCGCCTATTATAGTCATTCAGGTGTACACGTCGCCTATTATAGTCATTCAGGTGTACACCCGCCTATTATAGTCATTCAGGTGTACACCTCGCCTATTATAGTCCTTCAGGTGTACATCTCGCCTATTATAGTTATTCAGGTGTACACCTCACCTATTACAGGCATTCAGGTGTACACTTCGCCTATTATAGTCATTCAGGTGTACACCTTGCCTATTATAGCCATTCAGGTGTACACCTCGCCTATTATAGCCATTCAGGTGTACACCTCGCCTATTATAGTCATTCAGGTGTACACAATTCAGGTGTACACCCGCCGATTACAGTCATTCAGGTGTACACCTCGCCTATTATAGTCATTCAGGTGTACACGTCGCCTATTATAGTTTTTCTGGTGTATACCCGCCTATTATCAATGGGTCATTCAGGTGTACAAAATTATAGTCCTTCAGACATGAATTAAAAAGTAATTATATTACAATCATATTGCTTGCTTTGGTTACTGTACACCTAGATATATATATCCTTTACAGGCATTCATGTGTACACTCGCCTATTATAGTTATTCAGGTGTACACCTCACCTATTATAGTAATTCAGGTGTACACATCACCTATTATAGTCATTCAGGTGTACACCTCACCTATTATAGTCATTCAGGTGTACACCTCACCTATTACAGTCTTTCAGGTGTACATTCGCCGATTATAGTCATTCAGGTGTACACCGCGCCTATTATAGTCATTCAGGTGTACACCTCGCCTAATATAGTCATTCAGGTGTACACGTCGCCTATTATAGTCATTCAGGTTTACACCCGCCTATTATAGTCATTCAGGTGTACACCTCGCCTATTATAGTCATTCAGGTGTACACCTCACCTATTACAGTCATTCAGGTGTACACCTCGCCTATTATAGTCCTTCAGGTGTACACCTCGTCTATCATAGTCACTCGTTATGTGCTGAAACATATTTCGATGCTAAAAGTACATATATTTATCGACCTGAATACGAAAGTTTAACATACTTTGCTATAGAGACAGACATCAAGTAGAAACATCCCGGTGGTGTTTGTGAGGGGATGATAGTACATACATTTATCCACCGATACTACACAAGTATATATTAGTTAAACATCTTAACCTACTCTCAATCATTTCTTAATGCAGTATACATGTATATGATTCTGAAATCAAAGCCGATACTGACTTGAGAATATATACAATAAATAAACTATTTAATGCCTGAATGTATAATAAACAAATAAATAAAATTATAATAAAACACACATCCTCCTCATCACTTTTTCATTTTCCTTCTCAAAGATATCCTGATTGGAGTATGAAGTTTATTGTTCTTACTTGTATTAAGGCACAAAAATAAAGTAGATCCTTCTACAAACATAACTTACCAATGGTCTACGCCTCCAGGTTTATAAGATATAGATATGTCTCTTTTACAGATGTTGACTGCTCGGAATGTTCTGAACTTGCCAGTTTGCTGGAAACTCCATGTAAGTATATACATCTGAATATCTACACATATATCTACAGTATGTCAAATAGTTTGTTATACTGCGAGTATTTAATGGCGCGCTTCGGTGATAATTTTAAATTCATTTACATTTATTTAATGTTTATCAATAAATATGTGTAAGAGTTTTCTCCCCTTACAGAATCTGTAAAGGATGTATTCACACGTCCAGGTCAAAGTAAATTTGGTTAATTTCATGGACTGTTTGGTAGTTTAATTGAATCCAAAGAAATTGAACTTATGATTGCTTCAGGCTGTTTTCTTCTCGTTACATGAAAAATGACGTTGATAAAAAAGGTTTGTGTCATTTCAATGCATGATTTTGTAACGATAGGATAAACCAACCCCCTACAAAATATAGATTTTACTGTCACTTATTCCGTCACAAATGTATTGTTTTATATGAGAGAAATAAGCCAGGCATTTATTCCCTAACGTCATAATGGCTTGATTCAAAGATGGAAAAGTTTCTGGTCCGCTGAGGATATTGTACATATAGATCGACTCTATGGTTATGGGAACTCTCTTTACATTGTGTTCAAAGTGATCATTCTTTAAGGAATCGATGTGGACAATAAGTTATACATTGAATGGCCATTTCTTTACTTTCAGTTATACTTCCGTGTCAAACTACGACAACTCACGTGACCGGAAGTAGTGTCGTGTTTGACTTTTACGACAGTGCAAGTCTTACAGTTGACAGATGTTCCTGCTCGGTAACAATACCTTCTACGTCCAACTTCCGGTTATCAATGTCAGCATATCAGGGTTTAGGTATTGTATCAGATCCCGGATGTGGTTCACAGATAGAAGTCAACAACAGCCGATCAGAATTACTGACCATGGTATGTCAAGTGTTCGGGTCACTTTCAATGAATACTGGAGATAATGCAGTGGTGAAACTGATCAGAGAACAAAACGCCGATTCCCGATACTGCATGATGATGAATACAGGTAAGTAAGTCAGGTAAAATTCTGTGATTAACTATACAAAAATAACCTCGCTTACAAAATCCTGTGATTAACAATACAAAAACAACCTCGTTTACAAAATCCTGTGATTAACAATACAAAAATAACCTCGCTTACAAAATCCTGTGATTAACAATACAAAAACAACCTCGCTTACAAAATCCTGTGATTAACAATACAAAAATTCGTGTATTGCTACATTTAGAATTGATTGAAGGCCTTCCAAAAGACATTATACTGACCAATAGTCCCGAAGAACTCAAATCGACCACTATATTCTTAAGAAATTATTCTGACCGAAGAATTCAACTGACCACTAAATTTCGAAGAAATCAAACTGACCACTAAATTTCGTAGAAATCAAACTGACCACTAAAGTTCGTAGAAATCAAACTGACCACTAAAGTTCGTAGAAATCAAACTGACCACTAAAGTTCGTAGAAATCAAACTGACCATTAAAGTTCGAAGAAATCAAACTGACCATTAAAGTTCATAGAAATCAAACTGACCACTAAAGCTCGAAAAAATCAAACTGACCAAAAATCAAACTGACCACTAAAGTTCGTAGAAATCAAACTGACCACTAAAGTTCGAAAAACTCAAACTGACCACTAATGTTCGTAGAAATCAAACTGACCACTTAAGTTCGAAGAAATCAAACTGACAACTAATGTTCGTAGAAATCAAACTGACCACTTAAGTTCGTAGAAATCAGACTGACCATTGTGGACAGAAGCTACACGCTGTGTTACTGCTTTGATCAACATTTGTTTCATTACCTCGCCATTTTTTATCTCCATTTTTAATACATCCACTTATGACATAAAAGATCTGTCGACGAGAAAATGTTGATGAGTAGATATTTTATTTCTTTGTGTTAACTTTGTCGGGCAGGAACATCAATCCCACATACCACGTATAGAAAATGGCTGTTTTCACCTGCTCAGCCGGTATCTCTACTGAAAATTATCTTTATTGTTGTCTTTTCTTCTTTAATCTAGATCCAAGGTTTATCATGGATATCAGTTGTCAGGCTGTAGGATCACCATCGTCATCTACAACATCCAGTACTACAAGAATCAAAACCACAACTTTACCAACAACTACAACAACCACACCCACAACAACCACACCAACAACAACAACACCCACAACAACCACACCAACAACAACCACACCCACAACAACAACAACACCCACAACAACCACACCCATAACAACCACACACATAACAACCACACCCACAACAACCACACCCACAACAACCACACCCACAACAACCACACCAACAACAACCACACCCACAACAACCACACCAAAACCAGCTACTACAACAACAGCGACAACGACAAAATCAACAACTGAAACATCACAGCCATCGTCATCTACAGCGACTTCTGTTCAGTTTTCGGAGACATCGTCTTTGTCCTCGTTATCTGCTACCTCTAAGACGACACCCCCTACAGCTGGTGGTAATTTCGGGGGACAAGAGCCGGAGAACACTGACGCAAATCGTAGGTTTCAGCAGTATTTTCTCTAACACTAATAAAGTTTGTCCTACAAAAAATATTAATAAAATTATGTTTTGATTAATTGTTCATTTTTTTTTCGGTAGTTGTGATCATCATCCCAGTCGTTGTCGGTTTGTTCGTCCTCCTCGTATTGTTACTTGTGGTGAAGCAACTCGTGAGCACTTACAGGTATGTATACTCCCTTGATTATCACTACATCTCTGTAGATATCAGTACATCTCTGTAATTATCACTACATCTCTGTAGATATCACTACATCTCTGTTTGTATCACTACATCTCTGTTATTATCACTACATCTCTGTTCTAATCATTCCGTATGATATCAATTACCACTTTGTAGTCCTCAACCTTCGACCTCACCCCCACCCCCACTCCCACCCCCATCCCCACTCCCACCCCCACTCCCACCCCCACCCCCACTCCCGACCCCGCCCCTGCAATGATGACATCAATCACAACGGCTCGAAACCTTAACCATGACTCTCAGAATTAATCCCTATCGTCACTATTATGAGAAAATATCATATTTTGACAGGACAAAGAAACAAAGGCACGAACCGGATAGGGAGAAACTTAAATTTGGTTCCACGTTTCCAAAGATGGGCATTTTTCAACACCCGACGGAAATGATGGAGACTACACATTATAACAGCAATGAGGACCTGCACGGCCAGAACCGTTACACCAGTGTTACTAACCCAGTGTACGTTCACGAGGAGTCCGAATATTTACCCGACCTAACTGACAAGGAAATCGCTAATTTTACATCTGAAATTGATTCGAGTTCTAGATCTAACGGCAGAAACCGAGAAGCGCCATTGGATGCAGTTGTAAACAAAACAAACATTAAAAATTCTCTTGATATTTCGAAGATGTCCGACCTCAGCAGAAATAAAAGCAGTAGTGAATGTAGTGAAATTGGAGCGCTGGCAGAAAACGAGAGAAATTTGAGACAAAAAGAAAGTTTCTATTATTGATGCATGTATATAAACATCTATTTTGTCTATTAAGTTTATCTATCACAGGCATGCTCAATTTGAGAAGGAAGTCTTCTTGTAGTATCTGATAGTTACATCACCGAACAACATTCGGGAGGACCGTCGCACGCTATTCAAAGCAAAGGACTATAATATTTTCAGTTTCATCAGCAAACGGCCCGGGGCAAAGCTAACGCTGCGCCTTCTCTCAAAGGGAACGTTTCCATCATATGTTTAAACACTAAGTTTGTAGCAGATCTCCATCTCAAGAGTGCTATTTTGCTTTCCTAATCACTTCGGCATTTGTTTTTATTGCAACTGCCGTCCCCATGACTGTCCTTCAACTGATATTGGTATATTGCAGATAACTATTGTCAATTGTCAGTGGACATAGAGTCATTTTCAAGTGAACAGAGGAAGGTGTGATTATAATATAGATGTTATAATTCTATATAATGGCTTGATGAGTTAAAATCAAACGTTTTGTACTTTAACATGTATTTCCTACACAAGATAGGTACTATAATATGGAAATTAAATCAAATACCTGTCTGTCACGTGTGGCGTTTTTTTTCAACAATTGTCCAATGAACAAGCAGGGCTATCAATCCTTTTCGGTAGATAATCATACCGCCCTACCTGATACCTAATTCGTAATATTCGTCGTAGTTCCGTCGTACAATCTTTGAGATTGCGTCTCTGCTGTGAGGCTTAAATCCGCGAGATTCTTGCTGTAACGTCTTAAGATGAAAGAGAAGTATGGTTTTTAATTCATTTTTTCTGTTTGGTATCTTATTTTTTTACCAACAGAGGAGAGATATTTTATTCATATGGATGTTTATGAATTGTATTACACTACCAGACAGGTCTGTGGTTGTAACACTAAGTTATGCCTTCCTGTTTTATAAGGTATTTGACACTTGTTACAACACGAAGATTTTCATGAATCCGTAATATACAGCTGTATCTATCTTGACTGAAGTTTTGTAAGTCATTTCAAGGTTTTATTGGCGAAACTCACCGATTTATCTGAGGCCCTAGCTACTTTTTGTATACAATCCAAGCGATTGTAAGTTAGTGGAAACCAACTCATCCTGAAAGAGACAAAATTTTGTCGCCGATTACAAAATGGAGACTCTTTTCCTACTCTGCGTTAGTTGAAGGAAAAGAGAGTTCACCTCGAAGACGAGGGTCACATTGGGAAAATTTTGATTGACGGACGAATGACACGATGTGTACCATTCCCCTTAATTGATGCTACCCCTGGGACGAAGCTGTATAATATAGGTGGAACTTTGTTCATCACTGTCTAACCTGAAGCGTTGCCTATTGTGCCTGGGTCCCGTTACTGTAAATTACTTAGATTTGGCGTGGGACTTATTTTCGCGCTATTACTTGAGGAGAGTGAATCACAAATTCAAATCCCTGGCGATTATTTGTACGGAAGTAACGCTTGATCACAGCCATGCTGATTCGGTTACCGATATGTATCTGATAGCCCAACATCCATTTCTAAATCAGGTTCGCGAACTCATGTAGTCGCGAATATGTCCGAATATGTTAGCTCACGAAATAAAGTTTTCGCGAAAATGTTGTTCAGTATTCATAGGTATACACTTGAGTTTTGTAGTTATGTTTAAATGTGACGCGGATTCGCCGATAATCGCGATTGATCGGATCGGCACCTGTTTAGAACATTCTTTACTCCTGTCCTCCTTCCCACAGGATACAAAACACATTATGTCCTTGAGGTGTTACGTTTCTCGTCGTGTCTGACTTACAAATGGTTTCCTCACCGAATACCTAAAGAACTTTATAACGAAATGCTGGAAAGAGTGCTGCACTAAGTTATACCCAACATATATCGTAAAACTCTTTCCGATTTACTTCCAAAGTCTTTTAAAGAAATTTGTACATTTTTTCACGATTTGGATACATCCTTTTTTTAGCATTTTTTTTATAAAATTTTACAGGTTAAAAAAAGTTCATTCATTTCATATTGAAATTGCTTACTGATTAGTAAATATCTTCTTGAATTGTGTTATGAGTTTGTTTGTTTGTTTTTTTTTTTAATTATTAAATCGTGGTTCGACAGGACTCGCTACTCACTCTGACGTCGTGGTCCGACATGACTTGCTACTCACTCTGACGTTGTGGTTCGACAGGACTCGCACCAGAGTCTGACGCTGTGGTTCGACAGGACTCGCCCCAGAGTCCGACGTTGTGGTTCGACAGGATTCGCCCCAGAGTCCGACGTTGTGGTTCGACAGGACTCGCCCCAAAGTCTGACGATGTTGTTCGACAGAACTCGCACCAGAGTCTGACGCTGTGGTTCGACAGGACTCGCCCCAGAGTCCGACGTTGTGGTTCGACAGGATTCGCCCCAGAGTCCGACGTTGTGGTTCGACAGGACTCGCCCCAAAGTCTGACGATGTTGTTCGACAGAACTCGCCCCAGAGTCTGACGTCGTGGTTCGACAGAACTCGCCCCAGAGTCTGACGTCGTGGTTCGACAGGTCTCGCCACTCAGTCTGACGTCGTGGTTCGACATGACTTGCTACTCACTCAGACGTTGTGGTTCGACAGGACTCGCACCAGAGTCTGACGTTGTGGTTCGATAGGACTCGCCCCAGAGTCCGACGTTGTGGTTCGACAGGACTCGCCCCAGAGTCCGACGTTGTGGTTCGACAGGACTCGCCCCAGAGTCTGACGTCGTGGTTCGACAGAACTCGCCCCAGAGTCTGACGTCGTGGTTCGACAGGTCTCGCCACTCAGTATGACGTCGTAGTTCGACAGAACTCGCCACTCAGTCTGACGTCGTGGTTCGACATGACTTGCTACTCACTCTGACGTTGTGGTTCAACAGGAATCGCCCCAGAGTCCGACGTTGTGGTTCGACAGGACTCGCCCCAGAGTCCGACGTTGTGGTTCGACAGGACTCGCCCCAAAGTCTGACGATGTTGTTCGACAGAACTCGCCCCAGAGTCTGACGTCGTGGTTCGACAGAACTCGCCCCAGAGTCTGACGTCGTGGTTCGACAGGTCTCGCCACTCAGTCTGACGTCGTGGTTCGACAGAACTCGCCACTCAGTCTGACGTCGTGGTTCGACATGACTTGCTACTCACTCTGACGTTGTGGTTCAACAGGACTCGCCCCAGAGTCTGACGTTGTTGTTCGACAGAACTCGCCCCAGTCTGACGTCGTGGTTCGACAGGTCTCGCCACTCAGTCTGACGTCGTGGTTCGACAGAACCCGCCACTCAGTCTGACGTCGTGGTTCGACAGAACTCGCCACACACTCGTCATAGTCTGACGTCGTGATTCATCAAACGAATTACCAGTGTGGACCGTACTAGCACTGTTCTATATTCCTATATACATTAAGGTAAAAACAAAAAATGTTGACGAGATGGTAAACAGATTATAGACCAAATAATACGCAATGTATCATAGTCAATACGGTTATGCTTTGTTTAACACCTGGTCATAGATGTGCGAGAATGTGGTTGTGTTATAAGAATATCTATTCTTTTGATATTATCAACCCGAAAAGAAAATTCCCGAAATACGTCAAAAAATCATGTTCAAACACCAGGGTCCACCACAACCTGTGACAAAGTACCGGTAAAATACGGCAGTGTGTTCTGTTTCAAACAGTGCAAGCAGGTTCATAACCAACATATTCAAATTGATCCCAAAATATTTTTCATTTTATGGAATAAATTTTAGTTGTCATAATGATCTCATGGAGAAATACTCCCTCGCGCGATATAAAGGTGGACGTTCGTTTGATGCTCGTTATCGTATATACATTCTGGCCTCGTTGTTGTTTACCTTCTCGTTCGGTTAGACAGTGCTTACATGGGTTGACCAAGGTTTACATGGCGGATGTGATCGATAAAACAGAAAACTCTTGCCTTTCCGGAACACCTGGTCTTGTTCTATTTGTACTTTTTAGGGATTATCAGTGTTACTCTTTTGTTCATATTTTGCTCTAGTTTTTTAATCTAGATGTCGACAAGGATTCTGTTGATTTGTTGGTAATTTCTTATTTTTCCGTCTGTTCATCCTATTTTGTTTTTATGTAGTTATTTTCTTCCGCTGTTTAGAATCAGCACCTCGTACAATGAGAAAGCTTTCCGTCGCAGTATTCTGATTAAGTGTGTCTGATTGCACAAACAATTTGTACAAACATCTGGATACTTGTCGTTACAGTAACGTCGAACATAGGGTCAAACAGACAAAAGGTTTTCTTGTGTGAAAAAGTGATATAAAAAACAACAAATAACTACATTTACAATTACAAAGCCATTTAATTTGAGTACATAACTATAAACAAGCAGACCCATTGAAACTCAGCAAAACAAATAATATTCAAACACAATATTTACTTATAATAATGCGGCTTACAATGACAAAACTGATCATTTTCCGAGACAAAACTACGTTATTAGATATGAGTATTAAATATGAGTCATAGAAAAATTGTCGTTCTGAACGACAGAGAATGACGATATTTTTTCTGATGTATGTTATATGTTTCTCGTAACAGAGAGAACACGACAAATAACTTTAAAACGTTGACTTAAAGCGTTGGCTGCTCAGTGTAAGTGTAACTAAATAGTTGAGTTCGACATATCCAGATAATTATAAATATCTTATCCTACTTTGCGAGATGGGGTAAATATCTCTGTTCCAAAATTGCCCTATATACTCAAACGCTTGGTCCCTTCATTCACATTACAATCCAGCGAATGTAGTCACTGAAATATTAAAACATCACTCAACGTATTTACCATTGCATCCAATAAAGACCAAAGTTCGTGATAGTAGCGAGGTAATACAAAAAAATGAACATATTAAACTCTCATTTACACCGCCATTTTGCGGATCCCACTCCGGGATGAAGCGCATTTTCACAACCTATGACAATTATCACAGATACTTTAACGAGATAACACAAATTGAATGACAATTACAGTTTGATCACAATCCTTCAAATTTCCAAAACGTGACTTTCACACTTCTCGTACATCCTTATACAATTCAAGATGATTACTTCACATGTAAATGTATGTTTTTATCTCATTCTCACCAATATATATAACAAAAATCCTGATGCACTTCCGGTACTCACTTTAGTTCCCAAATGAATGGTGTGGCACACAGACCAGTTATTCCTCGTCAAACGGGTACACATTTTGATTTTATACATACAATAACAGTAAACAGCATATTTCACTGTGAAATATTAGGAAATTGCACCATTTCCGGTCATATTCATACTGAGAAGAGAAACATGTCCAGGCGAACAGGTTCGTGAACTTATATTGTTAAGTTCGTTGCCATGGTTTTCTGTTAGACATTGTTCCTCGTCAACTTCTATCACAAAAGGAGCAGGCTCTTTGGAGAGATTGGTGAGCGTGATTGCTTCCTCTTTGTTATTTTCCTGAAAGAGCAAGAGAACATTAAGAAAGGAAAACATATCAATATACATTTACAGTATATACTATACATTTACAGTATATACAATACATTTACAGTGTATACTATACATTTACAGTGTATACCACACATTTACAGTGTATACTATACATTTACAGTATATACTATACATTTACAGTATATACAGCACATTTACAGTGTATACTGCACATTTACAGTGTATACTATACATTTACAGTATATACTACACATTTACAGTATATACTGCACATTTACAGTGTATACTATACATTTACAGTGTATACTATACATTTACAGTGTATACCACACATTTACAGTATATACTGCACATTTACAGTGTATACTATACATTTACAGTGTATACTATACATTTACAGTGTATACTACACATTTACAATGTATACTACACATTTACAGTATATACTGCACATTTACAGTGTATACCACATTTACAGTGTATACCACACATTTACAGTATATACTGCACATTTACAGTGTATACTATACATTTACAGTATATACTACACATTTACAGTGTATACTATACATTTTCAGTATATACTATACATTTACAGTGTATACTATACATTTTCAGTGTATACTATACATTTACAGTGTATACTATACATTTACAGTGTATACTACACATTTACAGTGTATACTACACATTTACAGTGTATACTACACATTTACAGTGTATACTACACATTTACAGTGCATACTACACATTTACAGTTTACAGTATCCTAGGAAGACGTAACAGCTGTATGATTCAGTTAAATTCATTGTTTGGCATTTTTGTATCCGACTCTAAATCACTAAATGTAGTATTCACTTTTGTGTCTTTTGTACAGTTTTTAAGATAGCAGGTAGTAGACACTGCTGGTGAACAAGGTTGGCTGTAACCTGTATGCCACATCTTAATTCATTCAAATAGTGGCATGGTTCAGAACATACACATGGACGTAGTGATGTTCTAAAATTATCTAATATGTGCAAAATACGAATTTTATCGAATTATGGGACTTCTGCAGCTCCCCGTCTAGATTTTGACTTTCGATCACTTTGGGTTTTCCATGGTTGCCTTCCAGGCTTCAAAATCTAGGTCCATAGCATCACTGATGAGTCCTAGAAGGACGAAACAGCTGTATGATGTAGCATCACTGATGAGTCCTAGAAGGACTAAACAGCTGTATGATGTAGCATTACAGACGAGTCCTAGAAGGACGAAAAAGCTATATGATGTAGCATTACAGACGAGTCCTAGAAGGACGAAACAGCTGTATGATGTAACATTACTGACGAGTCCTAGAAGGACGAAACAGCTGTATGATGCAGTTTAATTCATTGTTTGTTTCTACTCTATCTCACTCTAAATTACTAAAAGTTGTTATTCATTTTTGTGTCTTTTGTACAAATAAAAACACATCATTATGAATTTCTTAAGTCAGACAATCAGAAAATTCGTCATTATGTGCCTACCTGTTTGATCTTTGACATGGATTCAGCTATAGAGACGAATGAAGGCCTCTCCTTTGGTTTTGTTTTCCAACATTTCATCATCAATTCATATCTGAAAAATATAATGACGTCATTGATAAATATCACTGATGTTATCACAGTAAAATTAATTGTGTTTATGACATAAGCTTGAGAAACTGGTACACGCAGTATAGGTGGTGACAACAGCACAATATATGATTCCACGTCCATAATTTTAACGGTGATGTTACGATAGTGTGCTTTTTGTTTCTTTCGACGACACAAATGCCTCAATTTTCAATGTATAGTTAAAAATATCACTTCCGATCAGTTACAAAATGATCAGTTAGGTAGTAAGCTCATCTGAGAAATAATTCATTGTTCAATGTAGGTTTGGCAGTTGTATTTACCACTGTCACAACCGTCTGTCAAATGCAATGACGATTGAAAGGCAGGGTTGGTTACAAGATCTGTTAAATTGTTGATAAATATCTTTTCATATAAACAAAATAGTACACTTTTCTGTGATGGAGCTGCTGTGTGGCTTTCCTTTCAAATATACATATGTCCTTGTAGGTGCTACTTAGAAAATTACCAAACATATTGCTATAATACATCCCCACGCTCAGCCAATTAAATGACTTGTTTGACTTTTCTGTCGAGTAACTTCCCTTTCCCTGTATGTTGCCTCATTATCAGTGATATTCTGAAACAATCTTCCACCCAAATTAAACACCATGCATTTCAAATTCTTACAGTTCTCCCGAACACAGAGGCGGTTGGTTCAGTCGGCCGTTTCCAAGGACATACTTCATCACCTCAGCGTTGGTTTTCCCTGGGTAAGGAACGAACCCCATAGTAAACACTTCCCATAGCACTACACCAAACGCCCTGCAATAAACACCATGTGATGTAAGAAAAATCGGAAAAATGATATCTGTTTAATGAAATAGATTAAACTATTTAAATTTTTTGTTATTTCATTAGTCAAAGAATTGCAAAATCATTCATGCCGGGAAAGCCACATTTATCGTATTCCGTTTCTAACGCAACATCCATTGTGTGGTTTGTTCTATAAACTTATCTTAGCATTTCATTTGTCATTTTCAAAGTTCAAAAAACATAATTAGCTGATAAAATAACTGTAATGATAAAAAAATCAATAAAATATTGCTTTAAAGTCTGCAAATTTGGTGTCACTTGAAGTCAAATTGTGTATTTCATTTTCCATTTTGTAATCATTTCCCAAATTAATCTCGTAGGCCTCTGCTATTGTCATCCTATTATCTTTCTGTTGTCATGGGATTTAATGAGAACTACAGATAAAAGTGCCAAGCACCTGAGATTTTATACTAATAGCCTATGGATAATGAAATCATTCTATGATAACAACTTTGTTTTTTCATGCATAAATTTTCGGGATAGAAACATTTTTCTTCTTGGTGACGACGACGAAGCAAACCAACGGATCACACCGTTGACCACCTGACAAGACAAAGGTACATGTGAGGTAACCGTCGCTATGGTATGAAAGTGTATTCAGTTTTCTAATGGTTTGAAGCAATTTCTTTGTCGGTCTAAACATGCTTGATTACGTTTGAAATTCGTTTTCTACGATTGATATCGTTTTCACAAGACGACTTGATCATTCGTGATCAAATTTCAGCAAATCATTTAAAACAGCAACTTCAAGACTAAGCCAATAGTTGTATGCACTAAAGACTTGATTATGTTTGAGCTTGTACTGAATCAACAAATTTATTGCCGGATCATTCCCTCCTATCCTGATATTGTTAAATAAAATCTTTAAAAGTACAAACAACATTTCTGGTATATGTCATTAAAAAATAATTTGAAGATACACTCTACATTTTAAACGCTCGAATCGTCAACCATTAGTGAAACCTTCCAATATGTCACAGGATGTATAAAGGGAGATAATTCATTGGATCGACCATGACTCCTTATCTTAACTCCGTAATAGAGGTTTTTTTCTATCACGAAACAAGCATTTTGTGCAGTGTCATGTAACTTGTTAAAATGATACAGAAAGAAAAAGAAAACAAACCAGAAGGCAGGTATCCCAAAATTCTTACCTATATTCTAAAAAGCAAGCTATATATAAAGATAAGCTGGTAACGATGATATTGACATGATCATGGTAATGTAACAACTAACCCCAGTGTACTAGACCAGTAGACAGAGATTGAAGCACTTACCAGACATCTGTTTTGGACGTAAAAACGCCGTCCATGAATGCTTCCGGTGGCATCCATTTCACAGGAATCATAGCAGCGCCGTTCTTCCGATAGTAGTTTGTTCTGTTAACAAGAAGGATTCTGAAACGTTTAACTTGTTTAGGAATGTCCGTAGCAATATTGTATTACGATCAAAGCGTTACTGAAACTGTTTTCGAGAAAACCGATAACCGTGTAAAAGATCAGTTATTTTTATCTCATTATACCATAACAGAATACATAGAAGATTCTACTAGAATAAATACTGTGTTTTACAAGTACACTATAACTGTATCGGGGAGGGTTGAAATTTTACTTAAGAGATATAGATTAGACATGTTAAGCAAAGTCGATGTTGTTGCTCAAAGAAATACGCCAAGCTTTCGACAACATAATTCTAAATATATCATCTACAAAGGGCACAGAATATATAAATAAAGATATTCTATCAAAACAAGTAAATAAAACAGATGCGAAATGTTGGCGTATATATTACGAATGTGGTGCTAGGATTGAATTCTTTGATGTTAGTTGTAATGTACTATGGTGGCAACATTAAAATCGAGAAGATTATAAAATGGTGTTTTAATTATGTAGGGTTTCAAATCAACTACGGCTGAAATTTCACGATAATGTGTCTGTTACGTCAATTTCTAATTGCAAAAATCTATTCATCATAAGGTTAAAGCTTTGTAGTTTTCGGCTTATGAAAAACACGTGTCTGTTTTGCAAGCATGTTTACACGAGTTGAATATGACCCTTGTTTGTCCGTTCATCAGACATATGAAAATTACGAAATTTTGTTGAAGCACAGGGCTAGTACATCTTCCAATTAAATTTCTTTCAACCACTGTTTTTTTTTCTCGGTCGCCTCTTGGGTTTCAATATCTATACCCCTTGCATAACTGATAAACCTATAAGGACAAAACAGCTGTATGATGCAGTTTAATTCATTGTTTGGCTGTACTGTATCTATCACTTAGTTTGTGTTTAAATGTGCTGTTCTCGTGCGAGTCTTTTGTACAAGCATATACCTCCTTTAAGTATGATTTTGTTGATTGTAGGCTTTGTCAATATTCATAACAACAAAACACATCAAGGAATTATACATCGTGTACACATGGTATTTTCTGGCAAATAGAAATAAAGTTACTGTAATATAACGACAGTCAGTATGTTTCACCAGTCTGGGAACACCTACCTTAAAATGTCTCTTGCCATCCCAAAATCTCCTATTTTGGCTACCCGGTTGGGACCCTTTTCTGTGAGTAAACAGTTCCGGGCTGCAATGTCTCTGTAGAGAATAAAGACAATCAGGTGAGGACATGAGTACCAACATGTTCGTATTGCCCCATTATAGGAGAATTGGGTCTTTACATAAATACAAATTAACTTTATTTTTGTTCAAAATTTACCTTCCTACCAGCCAATCAAAGCTCCCCATGTAAGTACTTTGGTTTTTTTTTTTATTGTTTTTTTCTTCTGCAGTGGTTCCAATTTTTGCAGTAAAATCAATACTTTCTAGTAAATGTATCATATTTTCATTGTGTCATGATCTTATTTTAAGGAGAAACAGGGAAAAAACGCAATAAGTGAAAGGATTTTCTAATGAATTTCAGTGGATTAAAGATGACAAGAGAAATTATAAGTATAAAACATAATTTTTGAAACGAATTAATGGGGAGGTCTGGGTCGGATTCATTAACACGATAAAAACTCTAAACCAATATCAGCTCACAGAAATAGCAGCCTAGTGACGTTTAATTAGAGCATCTGAAATGGCGTGATTGTTATCTGTTAAATATTCAACATTGTGGAATTTACCTGTGAATGAACTTGTTGCTCTCGAGGTACTGACAACCCTTCGCTATGTCACAGGATAATTTCAACAAATCCAAAATACTGAGAGATGAACATTCTCCTTTCTGAAATAACAAAAAGTGGCCTACAAGACTCACCAAACACCAACAGAAGGTATCTTAATGTGAATACGACAAAAATGAAATAGATATCGTAAATGACATTGCATCCTTCTTGAGTTTGAATACCAAGTTTGTGGTAAATAACGTCACTATATACAAATATCTACACCTCCGAATTACGAACTAAATTAACCTAGATCTCATCAGTCTTTCAGAAATACGTACGCCCATTTGGATTTATTTATATTAAAGTGTTATATCTGAAGAACAGTTACACAACTTGGAATACTCGAGTAATTTCAAAGTACATCCGATATATTACCTCTCTGGGGCGTGCGTCTCTGACAAACGTTCGCAGGTCGCCTCCTTCCATCAGTTCTAATATCAAAAACATGGATCGATCGTCGATCGATATTCCCAAAAATCGGATGATATTTGGATGTTTGAACTTACTGGAATGGTAAATAAAGAATCGTATACAAATGTAAATGGAAAAAATGTGTTTTGTTGTTAGTGGGTAATCATACACTGGTAAATATACTATCTATTTATACAATGGAATTCGTTCCAGTCTGTATTGATTACGAAGATTTTGTCTTTGATTTTGATTTCCAGATTTATATCCTCCTTTTTTTGTAAAGAGGTAACAATATTATTTCTAGAATATAGCACAGAATTACAGCGTGCATCACTGGTAAAACACGAACAAGACCAACATACCTTAAAATAATTGCTTCGAAAAAAAATTCTGATTTCGTTTGCTCCGAACACAAAGATGGTAACGTCTGAAACAAGAAACGAAATCAATTATTGATCTGTTTTCTAAATTAAACAATCGCATATGAAAAGTTTGAAACGTTGATTTTTACGTTACCGATAATTTTGAAGAAATGATATTTTTCATTTCAAAGTTTAATGTTAAGTAGCCCGCTGTCAAGACACAGAATATTAAAAGCATTCATGTTATACTGAATCATGGCTCACTGATCAACTGAATCCTAGCTATATTAATATATAAATAGATGTTTTCTTGTAGCTTTAGAGATTTATTTTATTCTAAAGTTAAATGTTTATACAACATAAACGTAAAAGCTGACATAGAATAATCCTTATAGATAGTCTTACTTTGATGGCGACTGGTAATTCCTTTCGCAGATGAGCTACGTCTGCCAACAATCCGTAAAATACTTCTCCGAATGCACCCTTACCAATCATACTGTAATGATAGCAAGTAGAATTGAGGATATGTTTACTGTAGTAGACAATTTAAAGAACATTCTTTCGACGAGCATTGATCTTAACTGAAACAGCTTGATTATCAACTGTCATCATTTTTTTCTGTATCATATTGAGTAAAATGTGACACTGCTGAAATAGGATTACTATCTTCCCCGAAAAACAGAAGGCTGCAATTATTTAGTCAAAATTCGTCATCAATTTTAGTATCGTCTAGGTACGAAGGCGTATTCAGTACTACCAGAAAGTAAGAACGAAGCTTAAACATCGGCTATTCAGAAACGTTATGATGATAATATAATGAAAGCCTATTAATGTTCGCCATTTTTAAAACAATTTATCAAATAATTCGGCTTCTTAATATCATCGTCCATTCGATCCTACCATAAGATATCTCGTTTCACCAAAACGAAAAACTCAGCGGCTTTTAATTTCGCAAATTCCACAGTTAACATGGTGCAAATTAGCAGTTTTACATTGAATAACATAAATCATATCGTTGTTTTAAAGATAAACGTTCTTGTACCTTACAAGTCTTATTTTTGACCTGGGAATATTCCGTATCATTTCGTCACTGTCCTGTATCCATTCGTAATAGGGTGAGATAGTCATGTTACAGATACTTCCGTTCAGCGACGCCTGGCGGTCGGAAGTCGTATCCTCCTCAAGCAGAGGCTCGTCGTGGAGAGTGCGCTTGTCTTCCAGGCAGGACAGAGTGGTGGACATGGTAGTAGAGGAGTGAGCCGAGCTTTTGCGAGGAGAATAGGGTCTCTTAACAGAACCCTCTACCGCCTTCCGCCTTCGTCTCATCACTGAAGATCGATTGAACACAAGTTGATTACCGGTGTAATAGATTAGATAATCTAATATATATCGCCGTTATTCAAATCATACTACTCATTGAATATATCGAAGACTACACAAATCAGTGTGCATCCCTTTTTCATTGAAACGGCGCTCAAGAAGCTTTTGTGTAGTCGAGGTATCAAATTGAAAAGAGAAATAGTGAGGGTAGATGACTAACCAGCATGGAAAGTTCAATATTACAAATGGTGACAAGTAAATCAGCTTAGATGCATACAAATGCAGTAGGGGAAGACACGCCCATCACGTTTTTTGTTTTGTTTTGCTGTTTAGTGAAATGCTAAGGCAGTTATGTATTTGGACTTATTTTTTTAATATCAGCGATGCAATATGTTTTAACCATTATCACGTGACAATAAGGCTGACACCAAGGTAACCATCCCCGATGCTCGCGCTATACTAGCAATCAGTTCTCATACCAAAATAAATATCTAGTAAATGTGTAACATAAAATGTGTCCCCGTGTAGTTACCTATCAATGCCACAGCCAGGGCTGTGAGACAGGCCACCAGCCCAGTCACAGTCCCCAGTACGATCAGGACGATTCCGGAACGCTTCTTCTCGGATTCTGTAACCCGAAGAAACATCATGGTGTCGTTGTGTACATCAGGTTCAACTAAAAAAATAAAACGGTTACGATAAAATTATTTTGTCTGCAAATTAGTTTCAGTTAAATCATGTTGTGATACGCATGTCTTTTATGTCAGTTCACCTAACCACACAATAACAATTAACATCGTCAATAAATTAATATAGATCCAGTAAGTTTTGCAAGCTGTTACAATCATCAGCAGACCTCAAATCTTTTACTAGGCAATTACATGTATGTCACTCATATCCTTTTATTATACTGCCAAAGTATTCCTTGGCTCAAATCACAAATCATCGTGTTTCAGTGGTGGTCGATATTACAGTTCTATCTAAAAGTCGGTTTCATTGTCTTGTTTGATGTCCCTAGGGATTGGTCGAAACAAGAACGATACATAGTTGTAACAAAATCTACTGCTTATTAACGTAATTGTAGTGTTAACATAGATCTGTATTATAAACATCAAACCCTACATGTCCGTTTGTTTCAGTCCAGTACAAAGTGGCGGAGACTAGTTACCAAAGCAAACAACACAGAGACATTCCGGAAAAAGACCGGCTGTACATCATGGTAATAGCGTTGTAGTAAAAGTTGTTACGACCGATAATCGGTCTAAATTGCATCAATAAGTATCCTGGATCAAATATATATTACACGGTAATGGTAACACCCGCTAATTACCTCTTTTACCGACCTGATTCGATCAATAATAGCAAACAGTATGAACCCATATAAAAACGCGACATTGATGTCTTCGGTGCAGAAAACATCTACATTGCAAATAAATCAGCTGTTCAAATTTCACTCCGGTGTCTTTAAACCAAAGATCGGGATATCAGTCCGCACAAAACGATCATTAAAACTTCTTTGAAAGTTACTTAATATTCATAAGTGAAATAAATAATGTATTCGTATTCATCGCTACTGAAAACAAGTGATATTTATTAATAGTGATGCGATAAAAAATTTCAAAAGGTTTAACGTAAATTTTGCTATACATGTTAGCTGTTTAACCAAGCCTCTGTGAAAACTACTAACCACTAACTAATTTTCAGTACTATTAAATCTGGCTTACACTCTGATACTGATATTCAAGAAATGGAATTAATAGTATGTGGATTTTACAGATCTCCAAAGAGCTTTTTACCAATCTTAACATCCTTTTCTAAAATAATTTCTTCTTTTGTTAAAAATTTCCCCTAGTTTTACTCGATTATGATTAAGTTGGCACGTTGGTATTTTCTTGTGTTTTCATTGCCTTAAAAAGACGCACGCGCCAAAATGTTCATTAAATGGAGAAAAGAAGTGTTTGCTAAATGTGAAGGCAATGTTGACAGATTTTCACACTTACAATACGATAAATAGGTTTATCGCTGTCGGCCATACCATAAAAAGGTTTATCGCGGTCAGCCATATCATAATTAGGTTTATCGCTGTCAGCCATATAATAAATTGGTTTATCTCTGTCAGCCGCATCATAAAAAGGTTTATCATCATCAGTGATATCATGAAAAGGTTTATCTCTGCCAGTCATACGATGAATGTGTTTATCTATTTATTGACTGAGTTTAAGTAAACATTATGTTAAGTTGCATCCATTAGCACGCTTTCGGTTAACATCTAAATTTAGAGACAAACCTTGTTGGAAACAATCCGGAGAAAGGGATACAAAATCCATAAGAATATCCTCAGAAATAAATACTTGGGCCCAAATCTCCAACGCAAGCCTGCAAATAGAAACATGTACATGTAGTCTGTAGTGGGGACTTGTTGGTAATTCTGAACAATTTACAAAATGTAAAAGATAAACGATTTCATCAAATGTATTTCAAATTAGTATAGACCTGTCGGTAGTGTCACTGACACATGAACAAACTGCCGGAGGTGTCACTAACTACATTGACTAACCTGTCGGAAGTGTCACTATCTACATGAACTAACCTGTCGGAGGTGTCGTTATCTACATTGACTAACCTGTCGGAGGTGTCACTAACTACATGGACTAACCTGTGGGAGGTGTCACTAACTACATGGACTAACCTGTCGGATGTGTCGTTATCTACATAGACTAACCTGTCGGAGGTGTCATTACCTACATTGACTAACCTGTCGGAAGTGTCACTAACTACATGGACTAACCTGTCGGAAGTGTCACTATCTACATGAACTAACCTGTCGGAGGTGTCATTTACATGGACTAACCTGTCGGAGGTGTCGTTATCTACATAGACTAACCTGTGGGAGGTGTCACTATCTACATTGACTAACCTGTCGGAAGTGTCACTAACTACATGGACTAACCTGTCGGAAGTGTCACTATCTACATGAACTAACCTGTCGGAGGTGTCGTTATCTACATGGACTAACCTGTCGGAGGTGTCGTTATCTACATGGACTAACCTGTCGGAGGTGTCGTTATCTACACGGACTAACCTGTCGCAAGTGTCACTAACTACATGGACTAACCTGTCGTAGGTGTCGTTAACTTCATGAACTTACCTGTCGGAGGTGTCTCTAACTACATGAACTTACCTGTCGGAGGTAACAGGGAGTACTGCGTTGTAATGTCTCCATTTCGGACTTTTAGACGGAGTGGAGTCTACCGTGAGAGACATGCCCGTCACCTGGTCGGAATCCAGCATCTCATATATATTAACACCAACCCTATCTCGTCTTACGTTACGCACGGAAAAACGTAGCTATAATATAAAAAGGCAACATTGTAAATATTATATTAAGTTATCTTTAGAGCATATTACGAAGATTGAATAAGAGATTAATATTTTCAAAAAATGTTTGTTAGATAATATTTTGTTCAAAACTAGAATTATCAATGTCACCACATAAACTGATGATAATTGTATACACTTAACACAAAAAAAAGAAAACATATGTTAGAGCCCGCAATAAAAACAAGTTACATTAAAACGACCAATCCTGACGTTACGAAATGTACGGTGTTTTATGATGAATTGTGATATAGTGAGATCAGAGGAAAATGTCCCAATAGACAGGTATCTATTATAAAGGAGTTACTGCCTTTATGGCATTTTTAGATGGGTATGAGGTAGGTACTCTTTATTTAGGATTAAAAATTTGCTGGCATTTAAAATTAGATGAAGAACTGGCTTTATATGGCAATTCGTCTACAAACAATGCTGATTTTACGATAAAGAAAGGTAGAGTTTAGTGAAAAGTTCCACTGAACGGCATAATAAGTCGATAGAGGTAATGGTGAGGAGTCTCGTTAGCTGTATACGGAGTCACGATCAACAAAGGTTCAACGTAAAATTATACAAATGCATGATGGCGATGAAAGTCAATATCATTATGGCACGTGTTTTTCCTTAACGTTATATCAAAGACACTATTGTCTTCCCTCTGCAGTATGTGAATCCTTGTCTTGGTTGATTGATTTTTAGTACAATTATTGTAGAATATCACAAGCATTAGATTACAAGTAAAGATTTTTTCGTCATATCGACCAGTTAGTGTTAAAAATTACATTTGCAAGAAGAGCACTTGTTTGATCTAAAGTGTCTACCATAATAAAATGTAATTGACGTTATGTGTCATACAGAATTATGGCAGTTATCTCGGACGGTGCAAGAATTTGTCTCTTAAATCAATATCATTTAGTAAAAGTAGTCGGAGATATCCTTCTGCCTGACAAGTGTTGTTGTGTAGTACAGTGACGGAACCTCCCAATAAATCACAGCATATCCACCCTTTTACCTGACAAGTGTTGTTAGTGTAGTAGAGTGCCGGAACCTCCCGGTAAATGACAGCATATTCGCTCGCCGAACATTGCTTCCCTCTCAGTTGTAACACAACACCTGAACAAAAGGAATTCTAGAAAGTAGAATTACTTCACGATATCATACAATTAAGATAACACTTACACGTTTACATCAAAAACACTGAAGAAAACAAAGAATAAGGAAGAAAAGAAAACCTCGGGTTATTAAAACTGTCCCTTGACCTCTGACCTCGAATTACTAACGCCGTCCCTAAACCTCTGACCTCGGGTTATTAACACTGTTCCTTGATCACTGACCTCAGAATACAAACACAATCCCTTGAACTTTAACTCTGTCCCCTAACCTCTGACTTCAGGTCACTAACACTATCCCTTGACCTCTGGCCTCGAAATACTCACACTGTCCTTTTTCTAATTTGAAGACAAGAAGATGACCTCTGACCTTGGATTACTCGCATCATCCCTTGACCTCTGATCCCTGACCTGACCTATTATTCAATTTCATTTGATCTAAGACTGCAAAAGTTGTTATTTTTAGACCAATATGTACAATGAATGAAAAATAGATAGAGAACATTGTAGGATTTTAGTAAGATAAAACCGTTCTGTTTGCTGCAAGCTTTCGGTAATATTTTATACAGCGGCCTCTCATTTAGTACTAGATATTTACCGTGGGTGTTATCAATATCCTCCTTGTCGATTTCGGTGTAGTTGGCTCGGTCGAATACACAGCCTGTAGCAATGCGGAAGGGGCTGGTGTTGTACCATCCACACCAACCATTATCAAACGAACAGCTGCCATTCCACTGGTTCTCATCTACAGAGTTATTACAAAATGTTGTAATTAACTAATGAAATAACCGCTTGATGCCTTGGTTTGTAGTACTGATCTTAAGTGATATGATAGTGTTAAATACATAAAATCGTTGATATGATGGTGTTATATAGTTATAATCGTTGATCTAATAGTGTTAAATAGATATAAACATTGATCTGATGATGTTAACTAGTTATAGTCATAGATATAATGGTGTTTAAATAGTTTTAATTGATATGATGGTGTTAAATGGTTATAATCATTGATACGATGGTGTTGAATAGTTATAATCATTGATATGATGGTGTTAAATAGTTATAATCATTGATATGATGGTGTTAAATGGTTATAATCATTGATATGATGGTGTTAAATAGTTATAATCATTGATATGATGGTGTTTAATAGTTATAATCATCGATATGATGGTGTTAAACGCTTATAATCATTGATACGATGGTGTTGAATAGTTATAATCATTGATATGATGGTGTTGAATGGTTATAATCATTGATATGATGGTGTTTAATAGTTATAATCATTGATATGATGGTGTTAAATAGTTATAATCATTGATATGATGGTGTTAAATGGTTATAATCATTGATATGATGGTGTTAAATGGTTATAATCATTGATATGATGGTGTTTAATAGTTATAATCATTGATATGATGGTGTTAAATGGTTATAATCATTGATACGATGGTGTTGAATAGTTATAATCATTGATATGATGGTGTTAAATGGTTATAATCATTGATATGATGGTGTTTAATAGTTATAATCATTGATATGATGGTGTTGAATAGTTATAATCATTGATATGATGGTGTTAAATGGTTATAATCATTGATATGATGGTGTTAAATGGTTATAATCATTGATATGATGGTGTTTAAATAGTTATAATCATTGATGTGATGGTGTTTAAATAGTTATAATCATTGATATGATGGTGTTTAAATAGTTATAATCATTGATGTGATGGTGTTAAATGGTTATAATCATTGATACGATGGTGTTGAATAGTTATAATCATTGATATGATGGTGTTAAATGGTTATAATCATTGATATGATGGTGTTAAATTGTTATAATCATTGATATGATGGTGTTGAATAGTTATAATCATTGATATGATGGTGTTAAATGGTTATAATCATTGATATGATGGTGTTGAATAGTTATAATCATTGATATGATGGTGTTAAATGGTTATAATCATTGATATGATGGTGTTAAATGGTTATAATCATTGATATGATGGTGTTTAATAGTTATAATCATTGATATGATGGTGTTGAATAGTTATAATCATTGATATGTTGGATTTGAATAGTTATAATCATTGATATGCCGGTGTTAAATAGTTATAATCATTGATATGCCGGTGTTAAATAGTTATAATCATTGATGTGATGGTGTTAAATAGATAAAATCATTGATATGATGGTGTTGAATAGTTGAGTAGTAAATTCTTAGCATGTTAGTTTATGTAATAAATTGTAATATACTCCCTGTTTATATGATGTAACACGGCATTGGATGAATAGATCATTGTTCAAACACTCACAGTGACGTATTTCAATAATAGTTTAAAATCACATACACGTAGCCCTTTCGTCCTTCTAGGACTCGTCAGTAATGCTACATCATACAGCTGTTCTGTCCTTCTAGGACTCGTCAGTAATGTTACATCATACAGCCCTTTCGTCATTCTAGGACTCGTCAGTAATGCTACATCATACAGCTGTTCTGTCCTTCTAGGACTCGTCAGTAATGTTACATCATACAGCTGTTTCGTCCTTCTAGGACTCGTCAGTAATGCTAAATCATACAGTTGTTTCGTCCTTCTAGGACTCGTCAGTAATGCTAAATCATACAGTTGTTTCGTCCTTCTAGGACTCGTCAGTAATGCTACATCATACAGCTGTTTCATCCTTCTTGGACTCGTCAGCTATGCTACATCATAGTTGTTTCGTCCTGCTAGGACTAGTCAGCTATGCTACATCATACAGCTGTTTCGTCCTTCTTGTACTCGTCAGCAATGTTACATCATACAGCCCTTTCGTCCTTCTAGGACTCGTCAGTAATGCTACATCATACAGCTGTTCTGTCCTTCTAGGACTCGTCAGTAATGTTACATCATACAGCTGTTTCGTCCTTCTAGGACTCGTCAGTAATGCTAAATCATACAGTTGTTTCGTCCTTCTAGGACTCGTCAGTAATGCTACATCATACAGCTGTTTCATCCTTCTTGGACTCGTCAGCTATGCTACATCATAGTTGTTTCGTCCTGCTAGGACTCGTCGGCTATGATACATCATACAGCTGTTTCATCTTTCTTGGACTCGTCAGCTATGCTACATCATAGTTATTTCGTCCTACTAGGACTCGTCAGCTATGCTACATCATACAGCTGTTTCGTCCTTCTTGTACTCGTCAGCAATGTTACATCATACAGCCCTTTCGTCCTTCTAGGACTCGTCAGTAATGCTACATCATACAGCTGTTCTGTCCTTCTAGGACTCGTCAGTAATGTTACATCATACAGCCCTTTCTTCCTTCTAGGACTCGTCAATAATGCTACATCATACAGCTGTTCTGTCCTTCTAGGACTCGTCAGTAATGTTACATCATACAGCTGTTTCGTTCTTCTAGGACTCGTCAGTAATGCTAAATCATACAGTTGTTTCGTCCTTCTAGACCTCGTCAGTAATGCTACATCATACAGCTGTTTCGTCCTTCTAGGACTCGTCAGTAATGCTACATCATACAGCTGTTTCATCCTTCTTGGACTCGTCAGCTATGCTACATCATAGTTGTTTCGTCCTGCTAGGACTCGTCAGCTATGATACATCATACAGCTGTTTCGTCCTTCTAGGACTCGTCAGTAATGCTACATCATAGTTATTTCGTCCTTCTAGGACTCGTCAGTAATGTTTCGTCCTTCTTGTACTCGTCAGCAATGTTTCTGTCCTTCTAGGACTCGTCAGTAATGCTACATCATACAGCTGTTCTGTCCTTCTAGGACTCGTCAGTAATGTTTCATACAGCCCTTTCTTCCTTCTAGGACTCGTCAATAATGCTACATCATACAGCTGTTCTGTCCTTCTAGGACTCGTCAATAATGTTACATCATACAGCTGTTTCGTTCTTCTAGGACTCGTCAGTAATGCTAAATCATACAGTTGTTTCGTCCTTCTAGACCTCGTCAGTAATGCTACATCATACAGCTGTTTCATCCTTCTTGGACTCGTCAGCTATGCTACATCATAGTTGTTTCGTCCTTCAAGGACTCGTCAGTAATGCTAAATCATACAGTTGTTTCGTCCTTCTAGGACTCGTCAGTAATGCTACATCATACAGCTGTTTCATCCTTCTTGGACTCGTCAGCTATGCTACATCATAGTTGTTTCGTCCTGCTAGGACTAGTCAGCTATGCTACATCATACAGCTGTTTCGTCCTTCTTGTACTCGTCAGTGATGCTACATCATACAGCTTTTTCGTCCTTCTTGGACTCGTCAGTGATGCTACATCATACAGCTTTTTCGTCCTTCTTGGACTCGTCAGTTATGCCAAGGACCTATTCTTTTAAACCAAGGTGCTAATACTGTGCGACTAAACAGATACATGCATAAAGCGACATCCATTGGAATACCTACAGCATCTAGAAACGAATTCGTCCTCGCCGAACAGGCAGTCAGGAATGAGGTCACAGAGTTTAGAATGAGGTAGCCAATGGCAGGTGCTGCACTGGAAGTCTCCCGTTCCACATGCCAGAGGTGGCAATTCCTTATCTATACACAAAAAAACAAGGGTACATGACAGTCACTTTTGTGGTGTAAACATATGGCTAGCATACACCTACACACAAAATCACACGTGCGTTTATCTCTCATACACCTACACACAAAATCACACGTGCGTTTATCTCTCTTACACCTACACATACAAAAAAACACGTGCGTTTATCTCTCATGCATCTACACAGAAAAAAGCATGTGCGTTTATCTCTATCATCTACGTAGGAACATTATACTTATACATTAAGATAACATAGTAAATTAAAAAGGCGTATAATGATTAAGGTCAAAAACTTTGTTCGATATATACGGAGCAATTGTTTTTAACATATTTTCATTGTATCAAATAAATACAATGGTGATCAGGCACATGTTTTCCAACTTATATCAAGTTATCTCCCTAAAATTTTATACCACACCTCAATATTAACACAAGATGACATAAATATATATATTAGATAAACGATTTCTTTCCTAATGAAAAATAGGTATGGTAGAGATGGGGCGCACAGAAATAAGGAAATGTATATGAAAGAGGAAAGTTGAGGTCTCTTTCAAGTCCATTTTGAAGAACAGTTCCAAAACTTTGAAAAGTTTAATAAATGATGTTATAGGTTGAGTGAGTGAATCTTTCCCGACCCAGTAGGTACTAGATAACATTCCTATGTCCCATTCGTTCGACTTTTCACAATTCATAATTCTTTCCATTGGTTGCTTTCTTCTGAGTCACTCCTTTCTGCTCATCGAGTTGGGAAAGATAATAGATTCCGTCATTTATGTTATTGAATATGTATATTTCTGAATGGCGTTTAAATACATGTACCATTGTGTTGAAGGGACACGATCAAGTCTATTTACTGGTGACGTAGAATGTTGGTACATTATATATTAAACTGTTTTAGTATATACAATATCAGTATATAAACAAATCAAAGTTTATACAGTGTTTTGATTTGTTTACAAGTGATCGATTGAAATAAAACTACTTTTCTAGATAAAATAGTAGCGTATAGCCAGTTATAACGTTATGTTTTTGTCCGTTCAAATAAACGGAATCTTTAAACACAGGCCCTACACAAAATAAATCTATTATCATTTGTTATTAATTGAATTTATAATCAATTGAATCCTTCTTAAATTTTTGCCTGTGAGCAATTTTACTTCCGGTGTGTAATCGAATATTTCTGAAACTTTCATTGGCAATGCTGGAAAATGATTACAGCCAAATAGATGTACATATATTGATATTGTAGTAATTACCATACACGGTAAATCATCGGTTGTCTATAAAAAAGAATGTAATCAAAAATTTTCGATTGGGGTAAATATCATTCCCGTGGACAAGCATATATTGGTATTTACGCGAAATGACATATTGATAAATCAATGTTTCTGAGAAAGTCCAAAATGAACTTTAGAACAAATTGATTTTTTACCACAGAATGACCTAAGTGAACCATACCAATGCGATGGACTTATACGATCAATGATATGTCATTTTGTGAATTAAGTTATTGTGTTAGGGTACCAAACGGGCCCACGTGTTCTCGTGTTACAGAAAGTAATCCAGTATACGCGTGATGACAACTCCCTGGAGTATTGTTTCATTTCCTAAACACATCTTAGGATTACATTGTGAATGTAGTCATTTCCGGGTATAAATCTCGCTGCCGTATCATCTTTTTGATATTTTATCTGTTTTAATCTTTTCCATTGTTTATGTCGACTCGCCGAGGTCTTTTCTGAAATAACCATGGCTACCTTTGGTGACGAGCAAAGTCAAAAGGAAACCACGGTAAAAGCATTAGTTTTGTTACTGAATTTTTTTCGTGTTCTTTACATTTCAATATACGTTTCTATGCTATCCCGATATTAACAGTCGATTTCCAATATCCAGCTTGATCAAGTCTTTGGTTTGGGAAACCCCTCTCTAATTTACTACCAATGACGCAACGTATTAGCTCTGAAAACGAGACAGTTCATTTTGTAAATAGACACGGGATGGCGGCAGAAGTGACAAGTGAAGAACAATCCCGTTTTTCACCATCGGATTTTGTTATGGGCGTGGCACTTGTTATTTGATAACTCTACATCAGTTCAGAATTACAAAATAAGAGACAAGGATCACCACCATTCAGACGGGAAGGCTGGTCATATACACATGATATATATATATATATACAATTAAATAAGTAAGTAAATGTTTTACCGTGATATCACTTATTGATATAGAAACATATTACGTATTTCTAAGCAAAATTTATAAAATTGAGAAGTGTTAAAAACCAAAAGCAAATCAGTAACAAAAACGAAAATTTAATGACATGAAATAAATATTTGAAACCGTGACCTTGTTATACATCGAGCAAAGTTATTTGTAAATATTGTCTAGTAAGATTTGTTTGATCAAAATACAGAAAGTCAATTCAAAGTACATGGGTTTGCTGGTTAATTTATCGCACGGGTTGCTAAAAATAGGTTATACCATTGAGAACTTGATGCTCCTGTATGTTTTTATTAAGATAAGAAAACTATGTGCTGATTTTAAAGGGACGTGTTTGAAACAATTGGAAGACAATCTGAGTCTCGGAGTAGAATCATTTGTCAGTATTGCAGCTAATGTGTTCTCGTTACATCCCACACAGATGTCTTACCGTCAGTTTCCCCACACTGTCCCAGAGATGTCTTATCGTCAGTCTCCCCACACTGCCCCACAGATGTCTTACCGTCAGTCTCCCCACACTGCCCCACACAGATGTCTTACCGTCAGTCTCCCCACACTGCCCCACAGATGTCTTTACGTCAATCTCCCCACACTGCCCCACACAGATGTCTTACCTTCAGTCTCCCCACACTGCAGCAAGGCTAGGTCGTCCACAGCTACATTTCCACTAGCACTGTGCAGCAGAATATCGATGGAGAACGCAGAGTGGACCCGTCCTATATGTACAGAAATATTCTGCCAATGTCTGCAACAAAAAAAAAAAATTTTTTATTATTGTACACGTTGTTATACTAAAAAGGAGGAGAGTGTCTCTGTTTTTAGAAATTATAAACAAATAGAAGATAAACACACACAAAAATCTTATATCAGTGATAGCTATCATACGAAGTCATCGACGAATTGTAAGATATTTAAATCACCTAATCAGCTGCATATTTTTAACGTCTTAGAGTAATCAGTAAAGTTAGGTACGTTAATTTTTTAAAAAAAAAGTGTGGTATATTGTTTTTTTTTCTGTGTATTCAATAGATAGGCCCTTTAACTCGGCTTGTACCATGGTCTGGTGAATTTTGTTTCACACTGGTCGGCGATCGAATGTCTGACGTCATAATCTAGGGGTGACGTCGAATGTCTTAAGTCATAATCTAATCGTGACGTCACAAAAGGTCATATAATACAAGTTCTTAAATCAATATGGTTACCATATGATAATGGAACACGGGGAATTTCTCCTACCACAGGGAGCAAAAACTTAGCATTCCATTACAAAATTTGTTCAGTGTTTTATAGACAATAAAGATTGTTTTTTTTTATAACCGTAGATAGTTTTAGTCTACAATCCATCTGAATCATCGTAAACGTAGGCATTGTTAATCTGTTGAACAGACAAAAATATTTCAGGAACGAAAACTAGACCTGACTTGCTGCCAGAAATAAAATGGACGCTGATTATTAGCTATATCGTATAACACGAGTTGAAAACTTCCAGTAGTCTAGGCGTCTTGTGGCAACTGATTGTCTTTTGATTGTGAAACGGACCTTAACCAATTATAATTCAGTAGGATCGTATTAATACAATGGATGGAGTCTGTCAGTGTTATCGTGGCCAATAGATAAAGAACCAGGAAATTGGAGAATTCGTTATTTCTATATATACGACAACAAAGGAATCCTTCATCAACAAGAAAACCTACAGTAGGTTGTGTTGCTACCATCCTAATGTGTAATAGGACGAAACAGCCGTACAATGCAGTGTAATTCTTTACTGTATCTAACTCAAATTATCGATTTTATCATTGAAATGTTCGATTATCTTGTGTGTCTTTTGTACTATTTTTGTAAAGAAGTCTTACCTCTGCCCTTGAGCTACTGTATTTCTGTCGAAGTGAGCGACCGACTTGGTGACGTTTGTCGTACGGATAGCAATAATGACGTCACCCCGATGTATCCACGCTGACATCTTGAGCGTACATCCGGCGGAACTGCCGAGGATTATGGGTGTGGATAAGGTGGTACTCACAGTAGACTTCATAGGAAGAAAAAATCCAAACTTGCCTGAATCGGAAAGGACATTTACAGTATTGAAAAATTCTGAAATAGTGATTTTGTCCGAAAGTGGTTGGGTAGTCTGTATGTTATTTGTTCGCTCATCAGAAAAAATACGCAGTTTTTGTTTTCGTGTTTGTCATTGTTTAAAATCACATCACTCGTCAAAACAACTGGCTTGGTATTTTTTATCAAATTCACTAAAGTTAAAGCGACTATAATGTAAAAAAAAACACTACGAGAAAACGATATAAAATGTTCTATTTTCCAACAGTATATTACAAAACTAAGACTTTCTGTTAATTACTTAAATGAAAAGTCACTTCAACCATTTGTTATTGATATCTAAAAAATAAAGAATGTAAACATTGCGGTCTTGATCACCAAATACATTACCGATCGTAACCCTGATGCTGCGCATGCGTATAGGCCGAGAAAGAAGCAATATGGCGGATGCAAATACGAAAAGGCGACACGGACCTAAAAGTTACCTTACAGAAAATACCAGAAAGCGTAAGAGGAAGAAGTCGGACCAAAAAAGAGGACAGGCAAGAATTTATATTAGACAGGAGATCGACAAATTGCGAAAGATGAAGGAGGATCTTGGACTGAATACGGATTCGGAATTTGCGAAACTGCTGCTTGACTGGTTAGCTTAACGTCAGCCATATAATCATATTAACTGATAAGTGTGAATGAAAAGAGTTGTGTTATTCGCTTGAATTTACTATCGAGAACATATGTTTGTTGTTGACTGCAACGAGGGGCCCAATTAGGGGTATTCGTTCTAAGTGTAAAAATATGACGGTACTGGTGTTACTGTAAGAATAACAACCGTGATGATAAACATAGCCTTCATAATAAACAGTGCAATATCTATTAATGTGTACAGGCAAAGTATCAATCCCTATGCATTTCTGCATAATGAGTTTTTTTTCCGATTGTATTTACCCCCTATGGAGCACCACTAGTTTAACGCCCGCGATTGACATAGATAATTCTCGCGCGACAGAGCCAAAAAAAAACGAATTACTAAGATTGATTGTTAAAAAATATATATTATAACACTTTAGAATCATTTACTGCAAACAAGAATTAGCAGAAAGGCGCAAAAGCAAGTGTCATACATAAGACATGTGCGTTTGTTTTTTCTTTGCGGCGGATGTAAATGACTTCGTCACGTGACAAGCCATGTGACCCACTCAGCTTTCTTCGTAATAAACCGTGCGTGAACACGTTTATAAACAACAGGCAAGATAAACAATGTTCCGACGCCGAAAATATGTACAAAAACAATATATTTGACGTTATAGGCGCGTGTATCACTTTATTATGGATATATTTTATTATTCATAAGCCGAATTCTCCCTTCCCCGATGTTGAAAACTAAGGAAATCGCCGCTTTAAACGAAATCTAACCTGATAACTGCAGCAGAATAGAAAAAAAAATCGTAAGTTTGGCTTTGATATATTTCACAGTGTCAGTCTGCTAGCCTAAAAGCTAGGAGCTTTGATGGTGTCAGACGTTATCAGAAAATATTTTTTATATTACTGCGATCTCGTGAAATATGAAATCAATGCTTCCACACACATGATACATTTTTCGTGAAGGTATTTCAAATGCCGCAAAATCCAAACAAATCTGGCTTGTGATACGAAACTGTTGTTTTATTGCCTTTTTTATCTCCGGTATCGATCGTGACGTCATACAGGTAATTAAAGCTTCATGCATGTATGTTTTGTAAAGTCATTTTCATTTTACGACATTCGGAACATTTTCTGGCTATCACGTGATAAATGGACCTACCTTGTGGTAATCCGACTGTTGTATCAATGACAGGTATAAATGTGGAGTAGTCATCACAGTGAACTCGGCGGAACACGCGATATCTGTCCTGCCGTTTCAGGGAACACAGCGTCTGTCCAGCTGTCCACGTCAGCATAGTCGTCGGGTCTAATTCCATTTGGCATCCGTTCTCAAAATCACAAGTAAATTCTAGGAAAAAAACACCTTAACTTCATTATCTCTAATAATTTTAAAAAATCATTTGTTTATCATTCAAGGTAATATTGTAATATTATATCCAACAGAACCAAAATGGCTAACGAACATTGATTTGAAATACTTGTGTACATATTTTTATCAAACAGCACACATTGTTTCATGAAGTACCAAACTCAGGTTTACATATAAGATATATTAAAAGACCCTATTACCGTAGTTCACCTGATATATCAAATAACTAGCTGGTGTTTTTTCTGCATTTTTACATTCTACATGTCACGTGATCGTAAAATACATCCATTCTATTGTGTTTAGTACCTGAAAATATGATTCTTTGTTATCATCTTGATACTCATGTCGTTGTCATGGTAAAAGCACTCAAAAAGGGACAAAATTATAATACAGAACTCCCGATATTCTAAATGTGAAATGTTTCCCAAATGTTTATCAACAGATAAAGCATGCTGTGAGGCAGTTTGGGAGCAAGCATATCAATGTATTGGAATAAAGAGTGTGAGAATAGCCATTTTATTTCTTTTGAAAATCACACGGAGCCATGTTGACAGGTATCCATGATATTTACGTTAACAAGCAGTGAATGTGAATACCAATCAGACATATAGCTTCCACTTCACGTCTCCGTTTTGTTTCTAGTCAATCTTCCACGAAAGAACTCGATGATTGGTGCGAAATCGAGAACGTAGACTTGTCGCTCGGCTTTTGTCGTATGTCAGCATCACGTCATAGGTAGGAAATAAACATGTTGACTGACAAATATGCACTTTAAAACCAAGAATGTTTTTACAATCCTGTTGGTGATAATACCTGTCGGCAAATTATTTCCTTATGTCCATAAATAAAACCTATGTCCACTACATTCTCTCGTTTGTACTGGATCGTATTCTAATAACAGTTCAACACCATTTTTGGCTTCCGTGAAAACCGATTCTGCCCTGAAGGTATCTGGTGTCGTAGACTGTGCCGTACAGGGGAGTATAATTAAGGTACCAGATATTCTATATAATATGAGTTACTTAAAGCTCAGATAGGATCATCTGGAACTGTAAATAATATTTACATCAAGCTATTCGGTGTGTGGGTGTGGGGTTTCTGGTTTTTTTTTAATATTACGAAAATTCAAACATTAACATCTTTTGAAAAATCATGATGTGAGACATGAATAGTAAATGAAATTAGCCACAATGTCTCGAATATCTGCAAGTCGTTCGCTGACGTTGCCAAAAAAATAATAAAAACAAGACAGCAGAGATCTGTATAAAATCTGTGTCAATTTAACACGGGAGACAAAGCTGGCAGGATGGACAAGCTAGCGACACACCTTTGGATCAGCATGTCTTTTAAATGACTTCATTAATGCATGGTCAGAAGGTCGGCAGCGATTAACAATCAATACCTAAAGACTCAAGGAGTCAATCAGTGCATTTTTGTATCCAACAATTTGTTATACTGGAAATACGCCCTCGCTCACTAAACACAATCCTTAACAATTATCTAGTAAATCAAAGTATTTCCAACGTATTGACGTAATCAATACATCAACATGTTTTGATGAACTTTGTCACAGAAACAAGTTAACAGCTAACATAGTAATCCGCTGATTTCTTGTTACATATTTCTTCTATATCTATGTGTGAGAAACGTGAAGTTTTGCTATCGAAACGTTTGATAATGTGATATGAAAAGACCCGCTTATCATCAGAATACGTCGCTGATAATTATTTCTGTTGTGTCATCTGTCATCATTTCTGATTGTCATCTTTCACCCTTTTCTGATCGTCCTCTGTCATCACTTTCCTATCGTCATCTGTTATCACTCTGTGGTCATCACATTCCGATCGTCATCTGTCATCTGATTGTTTTATCTTGATGATCAAAATTTACAGTAGTCACAATCCAAGGCGATAAACAGAAATAGCAAGCAACAGCGGTTTTTGCACAACATATTTTTATTATTCATTAACTTGTTCTATCAATAGAGAAAATATGATATCTTCCTATTTTAAATGTTTATTCATCCACATCGTTAATTCAATGTTCCGACGACGTTACAATGAAATAAACAGATAATATTGCGTTCACCCTAGAACATGTATTTGTTTTCATGTCTGACAATCAGCGGCGTCCTGCTTGTTATTGTGTTTATAACGTAACAATCATACATTTATCATACATCTATTGTACCTAACGTAATGTTACACGAGATATTGTCTAGATAACGTGCCTTATAGTAATCCATGAGTCCAACATGTGACACACATAAATAATGGGGACTAATTATATCAACTATTAATTGCCCATTCCTCAACACATTACAAAATAAAAACATCACAATATCAAGTCATCAATAGTTTACATAAATATTGGCTGATATATTTTTAAAGAGAGGGGAGAGAGAGAGAGAGAGTCATGGTTGGGGTGGGGGGTGGGTAGAAGGGATGACGTCGTTGGAAGTAAAATTATAAGAGAGTTTCATGGTTTAAAACCTGTTGCTACTTTTTATAAAATGTTGGACTCGTAAAAAAAAATCAGTGTTTGTTTCAGGGGACAGTTGATTATTTCCATTAAGGAGCAGATCTAAGTCACAGTGAACTTGTAAATTCATATCATTTAAACGTTGGAAAATGACATTTCTGTGAACATTTTAACGCTGGCATTCAAAGAAAAAGTGATAGGCATTTTCACACATATTTCCACATACACAACTATGGGTATCCACAAGGTTCATCCGGAATAAGTCGTAATTAAGGGAACTGCAATTATGTCTAAACTTAGTGTGAATTATGTGTAGTTTACGGTCACCAATACTAAAGTAAGAAGGAGACAAAGGAAGATCGTCAGGTATTAAAGACTTTTTGAATAAGTTGAGCGAGGCTGATGACCTGATAGAGCTATCAAGTGTATTCCAACTCCGAAGAGTAGACGGCAAGAAAGAAGACATGGTAGTTGAAAGACGACAGAATGGGATTCTATAATTATCACTGCTTCTCGAAAGATAACCAATTTCATTTTAAACAGTAAAAGAAAGTAAGGAAGATAGATATTCAGGAGTTTTGTTAGTATGCTTTTTATATAAAAGACGAAGTTTCCTTCTCTTCCTCCTAGCAGACAGTGATTCTAAACCAGTTTCAAAAGTTAAAGAATAAATATTAGCATAGGATGGCAGACCTTTGATAATTCCTGCTGCTTCACGTTGGGCCTTTTCTAGCATTTCAGATTCAGAAATTGAGCACCCGTCCCATAATTCACATGCGTAATCTAAAACAGGTAAAATTTAAGTTCGATAAATATTTAAAAGAGCAACTCGCTTTAACACAAATTTCAATTTTCTTAGAACATGAATTTTTTTTCATAACAGAAGAATATATCATTTGTACATGATCTACCCATTTGACACTAGAGCTGAATGTTACGCCAAGGTGCCTATGATTATCTGTAAAATCTAAAATCTTACCATGAAATTCTACTCTAATGATTCATCAATTTCGTTTCTATTAGAAATAAAAAAAACCATCAGTTTTATCTGGATTAAAAGATACTAGCCATGCTTTAACCCATGTATTTAAAGATTCCAGATCATTGTTTAGAATAGTTTGAATTTCGTGACAGGAAGATGAAGAGAATTGAAGAGATGTATCATCCGCGAAAAAAAAGACAGCAAAATAATGGGTACTAGTAGGAGGTATCAAAACCAACGATGACTAATAGAAAACACTGAGATAATGGGGAATATTAGAACATACCAAAACCAACGAGGACTAAAAGAGACACTTAGATAATGGGGAATATTAGAACATACCAAAACCAACGAGGACTAATAGGAGACACTTAGATAATGGGGAATATTAGAACATACCAAAACCAACGAGGACTAAAAGAGACACTTAGATAATGGGGAATATTAGAACATACCAAAACCAACGAGGACTAAAAGAGACACTTAGATAATGGGGAATATTAGAACATACCAAAACCAACGTGGACTAATAGAGACACTTAGATAATGGGGAATATTAGAACATACCAAAACCAACGAGGACTAAAAGAGACACTTAGATAATGGGGAATATTAGAACATACCAAAACTAACGAGGACTAAAAGAGACACTTAGATAATGGGGAATATTAGAACATACCAAAACCAACGTGGACTAATCGGAGACACTTAGATAATGGGGAATATTAGAACATACCAAAACCAACGAGGACTAAAAGAGACACTTAGATAATGGGGAATATTAGAACATACCAAAACCAACGAGGACTAAAAGAGACACTTAGATAATGGGGAATATTAGAACATACCAAAACCAACGAGGACTAATAGGAGACACTTCGATAATGGTGAATATTAGAACATACCAAAACCAACGAGGACTAATAGGAGACACTTAGATAATGGGGAATATTAGAACATACCAAAACCAACGAGGACTAAAAGAGACACTTAGATAATGGGGAATATTAGAACATACCAAAACCAACGTGGACTAATCGGAGACACTTAGATAATGGGGAATATTAGAACATACCAAAACCAACGAGGACTAAAAGAGACACTTAGATAATGGGGAATATTAGAACATACCAAAACCAACGAGGACTAATCGGAGACACTTAGATAATGGGGAATATTAGAACATACCAAAACCAACGAGGACTAATCGGAGACACTTAGATAATGGGGAATATTAGAACATACCAAAACCAACGAGGACTAATCGGAGACACTTAGATAATGGGGAATATTAGAACATACCAAAACCAACGAGTACTTATAGGAGACACTTAAAAAATAGGGATTATTAGAACATACCAAAACCAACGAGGACTAATAGGAGACACTGAAATAATGGGGAATATTAGAACATACCAAAACCAACGAGGACTAATAGGAGACACTTAGATAATGGGGAATATTAGAACATACCAAAACCAACGTGGACTAATCGGAGACACTTAGATAATGGGGA